TAAATAGTCCTCATCATATAGCATATAGCATGATACTTAAGCTAAAATAAAATGCGTTCTCGTTCCCAAATTTTCACATTTCTAAGCATCTTAGCAGACCCTATCAAATAATCTTAAACTCACAAAAAAGTGGGAATGAAAATGCATTTTTTATTACTCGCACGCGTCTCAAACTAATTTCTCTCATCTTTATTTCGTGTCAACCTTTAAAGTCACTTTTTGTCTTTTATTTCACTTCTCTTATTTTGAAAATAAAGAAAGATTTTTCACCAAGAAAAAAAAAAATATTTTTTTTATATTAACGCATAAAAAAGAATATGAAGAGAGGAGAGGAAGGTAAGGTACGACACATACACTAAAAAATGAAGATGTTCATAAAAAATAATATCGGTTTGGGGTTCAAAAAAAGGCACTCTCGAGGTGAGATGGAAGAAGTAAAGTTCTAAGTATAGATACGCATTTTAACATATTAAATATGGTGTGTGCATGGCATGCGATTAATAACCTAACACGTTCCTTATGTCATTTGATGCTTGGCATCTGAATGTGACGAGTTTAAGTAAGAAAGATTTTTTTATTTTCAATTTTTATGTAGACACTTTTGAGGCAAGGTTAGGAAATGTTAGGAAATGAAATTTATTTACATTTGGGGAAGTGGCATAAGTGGCTTTTCGAGTTTAAGGTTCTGGGTTCAATACAAAACCAAGTCAATTTTTGGTAGCTCCTAATCTCCCTTTCTTTTCACAGTTCTAGTTACGAAGCTCGGTTTGTGTGTTGGATGTAGTTTTGAGGTCTTTGGCACAGAACTTGCCTCCTTTGCTAGGTATACAAGAATATACTAGCATCTGGATTAATTCATTACAGCATCTTGCGAACACGAATTTTAACCAGGTAGATTAGAGGGTTTATAAGGTATTTGGACATGCTCGTGTATTTGCAATGTGCAGAGCTTGCAAGTGGTTTGGATTCCACTATAAACTGTAGGTCTAAGGCATGAAGTACAATAGATTTACATTCACAATGCCTTCCGCGCAAAAGGCTGAGCCCTTCGAGCATTAAATTTACAGAGCTTTGTTCATCAAGTCTATCTTACTTAAGACGACGCCAGTAAGTTTTTGAAAGATGAAGCAGGTTGCATAATATAGTGTTGAAAAACCTTTCCTTTAAAATGTTCATTAAATAGATAACATGTCCATACTTTGTCACCAACCAATTGTCACTCCTTCCCCTTCTTTAAGACACTTTTTTATATGAACACCAAAAAACTGAAACCCTAATGCAAATGCCATCATTTTTTATATCTTTACAAAATAAATGTGATTTAAAAAGAGAAAAAAATAGAAGGGAACGAAATTGAAGACGAAGAAGATTTACGGTAATGATTATGTCTTCTAAGTTGAAAAATTTTATTTTTACTTAAAGCACATTCATTTTGTAGTTATTTGGTTGAGAAATGTAAATTAAATGGAGAAATTCTGAGTTGATGGATTGGAAAGCCGGTTAAAATGGGTGCTAAAAGTTTGTTCTATAGTAAACTATGAGTATATGCTGGGAATATGAGAAATACTCAGATCAGTATTGTATATTCATACTTAAATATGATTTATTAACCTACACGCTCTAGATTACATTAAGTCTAATCACTCCTATTTGTTCTTTCAATTTCACTTCCTCATCATTTCTCCATAAATTCATAATCATCATCGCATTTAAAAAGTCAACAAAAATTGAAAATGAAATAAAATATTTAATCATGTGGGCATCATCAAGAGCCACTCTTTCATCAACAGTCAGCATTATTATGTGTAATAATTTCATCATTTGTCGCGCCTGGTTAATTCTATCATTGGTTAGTATTTAATTTAATTAAATGAAATAATAAAAAATTTCTCCCCTTTAGTTTGATGACAAAAATATTGAAGAATGGACTTTTTATGCTGGTTATATTGATTTGACTGATGTTTTGTGTTCAATTTTTGTTTTAAAATGAAATAGCTTAGATTTAATTTGAAACTAATTTGGTTTAATTTGGTCTTAAAATTGAAAATTATGAATGAAAACTTTTCACCTTCTTAAAATTCAAATTTTTCAATAAACTTTGATAATTCTACCAAAAATCATCCAGTTTAGTTCAAAATGCCTGTAAAATAAATCAAAAGACAATCACAATCTACACAAATTGACTGTCAAATCAGCAAATTATCTAAAACTGTAAGTAATTTAATACGTAATGGTTGACATTAGTCGAATGACATGACACAAAAATCTCTCACAGATTTTCTTAAATATCAGATCATCAAATTTATTTTTTGTTGTCTTTTTTGGTTACCGCTAAAACCATGTAACGCATCAAGAATTGATCAAAAAAGACACACAAAAATAAATGGAAGAAAAGATGAACGTGGAAATGTGAATGATAATGATGATGGCAAAGACAAATGACGAGGAAAAATTCTCGATTTGATCAAAGACGTTTTTCTACGAGAATAATATGAAGAAAAAAAATTCAAAAATTTGAAAGTTTTAAAAATTTAAGAAAATACTTTTTTGGAAATTTAAAATATTTTGAGAAAAATAAAAAGATTTTTTTAGACCTCCTTTTACTTATAAATTTTTGATTGGGCCCAAACTTGTTTAAATGAAAATCATTCTTACATCTATTAAACCTCTCGCGAAAGGCACACGGATTGAGTCTAATCCTGCATGTTGGTCCCGTCCTGGACCAGATTGACAGCTATTTCTACGCAATGTGCTTATTTGGGTCCAAAACTCATTTATCTAAACAAATTCAGGATTATTCTCATCATCATCATCACTTACTTAGTATCAACGAAGTTAAAAAAACACAAATTTTTCATCAAAAATAGTTCACTCCATTTTTTTTCAAGAAAAAGAATTTTCTCGGCCTCAAAACAGAAAGAAAATGAAGGAAAAACATTCCGATAAAAACTGATGCGGAAGAATGAGATCAAATTACCTTCACAAATTTTCTACGAGTGAGCATTAAAGCATTTGATAGTTCTGTGTTGATATGACTTCAGCTAATGTGTCGCTTCCTATGGATTACGTTTTGTGGGCTTATGAAGATCCTTGGAATAAATTTGTCAGATTTTTTAATTTAATTTTATTATTCAAAAATTGATCTTTTTACTCTTGATAAATAAAGTTCAATTTTTAAAAGCATTAAAAAAAAAAAAAAAAACCTTTACCTATTCAGATCAATTGTGATCCAGAGGTGCGCTAGGGCGATTCGCAGCTAATGAGAGTTTAACGAGTGAGGATGCGCCAAACCACTGCACTCAAACCTAGACCTACAATTTATAGTGGGATCCGAACCACTCCTTTGATGACATTTCTGTCTGTAGCCTACAAAGGAAGGCTGTGAGCCTCATTTCCAGTACATATGATTCGAAAAAGAACAAGTGAAAAATTTCCCATACCCAGTCTCGAACCCATGATCGCTGTGTCGGTATTGCAATAATTAGGTACCGAAGTACTAAACCATTCCGCCACCGAGCCACTTCAGCTCACCTTAAAAGCATTAATTTTTTATAAATTTAAAATATTTTTTATTTAATACAAACTTGTTGAATTCTGACAAAATTATCTCAAAACAATTGCTTTCAACTTCCAAATTGTCTTTGTTTTCCTTCCTTACATCTTTTTATTTCGTATTAATCAATCATGGAATTCAAATATCATCAATTACAAAGGATGAATTTTTTGATGATATCATTCTTGAATTTCATTGTGACTTGATTAGGGTGGGATTGAGTATCTTGTTTCTAAACGATGATACTGATGAGGTTGTTCGTGATGATAGAAAAAAATAAATAAATAAAGCAGTAAAAATTTGAGGATGTTTTTCAAAAACAAAACTTTAAATTCAAATTTATTGAATTCTTATTCATGGCATTTAAAATTTGATTTTTGTACATTTTAAAATTGAAATTATTTTTGACATTGCAAATTTTAAAATTTAAATTATTTTTGATATTGCAAATTAATTAAACATCTACAAAACCTATTAAGTATTTATTTTGTTCAAATTTATGCTCATAATTATGATTGTTGTTAATCTTATTCTCCTAAATTCCTAAAGATAAATTACTAGCTGTATAAAAATACTGATCGTGTTACTTTTGTAAATGTAAAAAAATTAAGAGAGTCAGAAAGATCAAAAAGTATTAAAATTTGACAAATTGGACTGAGTCTTGGTTCAGATTATTTTTATCAAACACTTTAAAAATAAATGGATTTAAATTATTATTTTTTGGACAAAGAAATATTTTGAAAACTTGAATAAATGAAATTAAATTAAAAATCAAAATGTTTTTTATAACGAGAAAATTTTGAACTTTTTGGACAAAATTATTAGCTTTGAAATTAAATATTAGAGAGATTCAAAGTTTAAAATTAACTTGTTAATTCATAGTAAAATACAGAGATCGAAGCCGATTTTTTCGTCTTAACTCAATTTTTGATTTTTTTGATAGAAAAAAGCCATTTAACACCCATTTTAAGTATTTAAATTGAACTTTACATGCTTTACTATGATTCTGTGAAATATTTTTTCAGCATGTAGCTATAGTGAGCTCAGAATTTCAAGTTAAAGAATGTTAAGCCGAAATTTAAGCCGATCGGCTTAAAATCGGCTAAATTGAAATTCAGAGCTTCCTATAGCTACATGCTGACAAAATATTACACAGAATCATAGTAAAGCATGTAAAGTTCAATTTAAATACTTGAAATGGGTGTCAAATGGCTTTTTTCTATCAAAAAAATCAAAAATTGAGTTAAGCCGAAAAAATCGGCTTCGATCTCTGGTAAAATAAAAATAAAAATTTGACATTTAGATAATATTATTTTTTGGAAGATCTAATACAATTACAATATAATATTAATCAAAATCTTTTGTAAAAATTCCTATAATTTAAGTATCAAAAGCACATCCACGATTACAATCCATACAAATTACCAATGCTCACTCTTAGAACAATTTAATCGAGAGCCGTTTTGCGCGCAAATTGTGTAAGCGATGAAATTTCACTTGGATTTGAGTCTGATGGTAGATTGCTGAACTCAATTTCTTCACCCATGATGTTTTCCTGTGTTTGGTCATTGTCTGATGGCCATCGCTTGTGAGATGGAGCATAGAGGATGATCATGCTAGCGATGTAGATATTCCACATTCCATAAACTATTAAAAATTCGAGAAAATAATGTTAAGTTTATGTGAAAAAATACAATTGTGCATCATAGAGCATCATAGTGGTGTGACTTGAAAGGCATAGTTTCCGAAAATTTGCAAATTTGGACTATCATATTATGATTTAAAGATTATTTTCCCGAACCCGTACAACATTAAAAACAATAAAAAAGACTAACCTCCAGTAAAGAAAGCCGACGAGAACTCAATCTCAACATTATCATTCCAATGCCACTGCGAGTCAGTCACTTGTCCCAAAACAAATCCAATGATTGTCAACAAAGCACATAAAAGAGTTGCAAGCATCAAAAATTTGAATCTGTAAATGATTCCTTCGTAGTGAATTCGACGGACTTTACTCATTGATGGGAGGACACTACGCTTAATGCTGATGTTACAAAATACTTTCCAAACCATGTAGCATAAGAATGCAAAGTAAACTGCAGCTGAGATTGCACCAAGGACAATAAATGTCATCTGTAAATAAATATAAATTAAAATATATTCAAAAATTTTTAAATTTTCAACTTTACCGCAATTTTACTTCCAAATCTGCTAACCCAGATTGAATAAAATGGGTTTCTTAACTGCACACCACGTTCACAAATGTCAAATAAGAACAATGAAACACATCCGGTAATGACAGCTAGCAAATGTCTCCAATAAACCTTCAATGAGTTCCTCTCACCAGTTTCTTGAATGAGCATATGCTCACCAGCAAATACAAGCCAGAATGAACACAACATGGCATAAAAAACACCTTGCCTGATGTCACTAAGCAGGAGCATGAATTTCATCTCAAAGAAAAGTGAGAAGTACTCGAGTGGGACTGCAAATGAAGGTCTCAATCATTAAAGGACTCAATAAAAAGTAAAATTCAACTCACAGTTTAAGAATGTCAAAGATGCTCCAAGATAAATCAGCATATATTCTAACAAGACCGGTTTTCTTTGCAATAAATGAACTCGGTGCCAAAACCAAACCATAACAGCAACAATGAGTGGGCAGAATACACTTTTCAAGGCTATCCAGATTTTTGTGAAGCCTCCGTTTTGGTAAATTGTTGATAAATGCAAATCTGTGATAAATCCGATGTCTAAGTTCATTTTTTCATCAGTGTCGACTGGGATTCGGACGTTAAGGAGGTACTGAAAGTAACAATTTAAATTTTAAGTTGATTCTTAATTTGAAGACAAACTTAATACTCACATAATCATGATGCAGTGACCCCATCTCGAAGATTGGAATTGTATCACATTGGTACATGTACTTGTCAGTCTGATTATCAGCAATACAATGCAAGTCTCTTGTTTCCATTGATCGAGCATATAACTTCCAGTCATTCTCTGGATCATCCTTATTTCTATATGCCAATCTCATATCCAAAGTCAATTCTGTATCTGGTTTATTGTAAGTCATTGGATCGTAGGCAATATCGGTCTGTAAAATTCCAATTAATCCTTGTTGCCATCTAGAGTAATCAAGATTAAATCCATCACGAGGAAGTGGCATTTGAAATACAAAAACAAGCTTATTGGCCATTCTGAATTTATCCTTAATCATATCCTCGTGAGTCACAACATCGCAGGACGGTTTATTGCCTCTTGTATATATCCAATGACTCGTATCGTTATGAGAACCTGGCATATCCATACATATCGTAGCCAATATTGTTTGTACGGAAGACGGTCGTGGAGCTGTTAAGTGATGAAAACCAGTCGGTCGATGAATAAACAATAAAAAAATTTATGAGTAAACAGACAAAAATAATCTTACCGATAAGTCCGCCAATCAGGAAGCAAATAAGCTGGCAAAAGAGCAAACTTGAGACGAGAATTGCAAGCTTCCTACCGCTGAGGTTCTCCAGAATCGTTCCACTCATTTTCGAAACGTAATTTTGAAAATTTTCTCAAAAATTCCTCTCCGGTAATTTTTTTTCTTCTGTGAATTTTGTTTGTCTGGCTTGAACAATTGAGAGGTTCTGTAAGGTGCATAAAATGATGGTTAAGAGGTTTGGATGGAGTAGATTCAAAATTTGAAATTGTTTGTAACGGAAATTTCATGTCGGATTTTTTAATGTGTTTAATGTGAAAAAATATGATCGGAATTTCAATACAAACTTGCTGATTTAATGAAAATTTAAGATAATAGTTCAATATTATCTTTATAGATCGTATTTATAATAATCGTTAAAAAATTCACCACGATCTCCCACAAAACTTACCACTGTGTTTACAAACAAAACAAATTGAGCTTACTGCCGATCATTTTACAAAGATGGAAAAATTAGACTCGGTTGCATTTCAAAATTATAAAATTCTCACTTTAATTGGCAACGGATCATTTGGAAAAGTGTTTAAAGCGACACAACTGGACACACAAAATGTTGTAGCACTAAAGGTTTTATCTAAAGTAAGCATTAAGTGGCGAAAAATACAAATACAAATTCTTACAAATTATTAATAATATCAATTATTAGCATGGACGATCAACAAAAGAGCTCGCAGCTCTCAAACAAGAAGCTAATATCCAGCAAAATCTTAGGCATCCAAACATAATTCAGCTATTTTCATCATTCGAGACTGAAAAGGAACTCGTTTTTGTATGTGAATATGCTGTATCCGATCTTCACAAGCTTTTAGCTCGAGCTGGTTCTCTTGGTGAAACAAAAACTCAAAAGTTGTCATACGATCTCATTAGTGCCTTATACTATCTTCATTCTCATAGGATTCTTCATCGTGACCTTAAAGTAAGTAACTTGAATTCCAAATACTATTAAAAATGGTACGTCTATGATCAGTTGCAAACTAGATCTCAACGTGAACAGACGTGTTTACAAATCGCTCCGCAAATTATTCAAAAATCTCAAAAGAAACAAAACAGAGACTACCTGAGAAGCTTTTTGTTTGCAAAAAGTTTCAAAATCTCAGTTTGATTCTCAAAACATCAAAATGGTAGCATCACCAAAAACTACCAACAACGAAGAAAATCTTTCTCAAAATCAGCATGGACTTAATAGTTCTCAACAACAACACTCATCTTCAGTGACAATTCTCAATATTGAGGAAATTTTCAGTGAAGATGTTTCACAAGCAGCCGACATTGAGATGACAAATCTCAAACCAAAAAAACAAATATCAATAAAGAAGTTTCTCAATGAAGCAAGTAAAGCAGAAAAACGCCCTCGAGAAGTGATAGTTCACAACGCTCTTTTAAAAAGAGTAGCAAACGAAAGCAAACCAAAAGATGGGAACAAACCACTGTTTGTACTCCCACCAGTGAAGAAAGCTTCATCTTCTGGAGTACCGTATCTATTTGGTTCACCAGAACAGGAGAAAAAAAGATCGACAACTTCTTCGTACTGGGGAGAAAACAGCAAAACATCAGAGCAACAAAAGACAATTTCCGTAAACACGGGAAGCAACAACAACAAATCTCAACAAAAATCAAAACCACCTCCAATTGTCATCAGCACAGGAGGAGCTGGTGAAATCAAGAGATTGACGAATGAAATAAACAATCAACCTGGAAGTTTCTTAATTGAGACCAAAAAGGGCAAACAAGGAACAAAAACGGTAACAACGGAGAGTTGGGATTACTACGAGAAATTCATCCAACTACTCAAAGACAAAAAGCATCACTTCCACACATACTCCAGCCAAGAACCACTGAAGAAGTACGTACTCTATGGACTCCCAGATATGGAAATCAGTGAGTTGGAGAAGGAACTTCAAACCGTAAAAATCACACCAGTAAAAATTGTCAAAATGACAATGAAACACAAAAGACACGAACAAGACGACGACCAGAACTACCTCGTGTACTTCAAAAAAGATGTAGAACAAGGTGGAAATTTCCTGGAATTCCTCAGAAAAATCAAAATTGTCAGCAGTTTCAAAATTAAATGGGCTGACTACAAAAATAGACAAGCTGGTCCATCTCAATGTTCGAAATGTCTGCAGTTTGGTCATGGACAAAACGGTTGTAACAAACCGTCCGTTTGCTTCAGATGCTCTGAGCAACATGACTCGAAAACGTGCCAGTACATATCGAAAGAGACCAACAAGGTTCCACTCGGAAAACTCAAATGTTTCTTCTGCGGTGAAAAACATACAGCAATTTTCACAGGTTGTAAAACCAGACAAGAAATAATTGAAAAATGGAAATCAAAATCACAGAATGGAAACAACCAAAATCAAAACAAAACAGCAGGCCATTATTCATATGGACAACGGAGAAACAATCCTCCAACACCGCATCGTCCTGAGAGATCAACCAGAAACGTCCAACATGCACCAAAACCTCAATGGAGAAAGGAGTATATGGAACCATCAACATCTGGTACACAAAAGCCTGTTCATCAAAAACAAGTTCCAGTCAACCACAAACCAAGGAACACAAATCCTCCTCCAAATCACAAACCCTCAAATCAGGGAAATAAAAATAACTTGAACAACCAACAAAACAATAAAGAAAGAGGAAAACATTGGAAAAAGAATCAAAGAAAAAAGCAAAACGAGCGCATTAATAACAATCAACATCAAAAACCAAAGCAAGATGTTGAGCTTATGGACTCAGAAGACATCAGTGCAACAAGTCAGACCTCGAATGAAGTCTTCCCAGAACCTTCATTCAGTGTTGAGGTAGTGAATCGAAACATAACAACTAATCAACAAGCTCAAAGCACCAGCACAAGAGATAAAAACATCTCAGAAATAGAGGAATCAAAGTGCAAGTACCTTATCAGCGAGCTTCTCAAATTAATCGCCAAAAATCCAGAGTTCATCGACGAAATACTCCAAGCAATCGGCTCAAGTGCCAAAAACACCGCATACAATAATGGATTGTAGACAACAAAGTATCAACGTCCTCTACTGGAATGCTAACGGCCTCACTGACAAAATTTTAGCATTTCTCGACTACCTAAGCAAGCAAAACGTCGATGTTGCTTGCATCTCAGAAACATTCCTAAAACCAAACTCAAAAATTGACTCGCATCCAGACTACGTAATTCATCGATTGGATCGCGTGGATAGACCAAAGGGTGGTGTTGCAATCATCGTCAAAAGAAATCTAAAACATCAGCTTCAACCAAGCTACAACACAAAACTAATGGAATGCATTGGAATCAAAGTCTTCATCAATGACACGGATAGTTATCACATCCTCTCAGTCTATCTCCCAGGAGGAAGCAAAGGAGGGGAAATAGGTCTACATCTGAGAGATGACATCAACAAAATAACAAATCTGAGAGGAAATTACTACATCTGTGGAGACTTCAATGCAAAACATCGAGAATGGAACTGCAACGTTGCAAATAAATCAGGAAATATTCTTCAGGAAATGTCAGGAGAGTTCATGATCTACTTTCCTGACTCGCCAACGTACTACCCAGAAGATCGAAACAAATCAGTGTCAACAATTGACCTGATGCTCTCGAATTCCAACCTCGAAACAACAGAACTTCAATGTACAGAGGCAATGAGTGATCACTGCGCTGTGTATTTCCAAATCAAAACATCAAAAATCGACAGAACTGAAAATACAGTCTACAGATATGACTACAAAAACGCAAACTGGAAAAAGTTCAAAGCACAAATTTCACGCCGCATTGAAGACAACATTGGAGAAAATTCTTGCAATACAACAGATGAGATCGAGAATCACATTAAGATTCTCTCTGAACTCATCATGGAAGCGAGGAACTCAAGTGTAAAAATGAAAAAGATCAAGTTCGAATCAACTAAACTCACACCGGAGATTAAAGATCTAATCAACACAAAAAGGAGTCTTCGTCGAAGATGGCAGAGAAGCAGAGATAATCAACTCAAATCTGAATTGAATTATCTGCAGAGAGTCATCAATGAGAAAATTAAAGAACTCAAAAACAAAAACTGGAATAAGCGTCTCTCAGAGATTCAACCGTCAAACCAAACAGTTTGGAGAATAGCAAAATTTTGCAAAAAAAGGTTCAAAAACAATGCCTCCATTGACAAATCTGGGTAAAACGTTCATCACCAACAAAGAAAAAGCCAGCGCACTCAGCGAGTATTTTCGTGAAGCTCACGAAAATCCTCTGGAACAAAACGATCCACAACATACACAGGAAGTAAACAACACAGTCAAAGAAGCATTGGAACAAGACAATGATGAGAATCCAGAACTAACAGATGTAAACGAAATCGTGAGCATCATAAGAAATCTGAAAAATCCAAAAGCTCCGGGACTAGATGAAGTCAACAACATACTCATCAAAAATCTTCCTGAAAAAGGTTTCGAATACTTGAAATTCATCATCAATTCGTGTCTGAAACTCAACCACTTCCCCAAAGTTTGGAAACATGCAAAAGTGATTCCTATTCCAAAACCTGGAAAACCAGCAAATGAGCTAAGCAGCTACAGGCCAATAAGTCTACTCAGCTCAATAAGCAAAATACTGGAGAGAGTATTACTGAATAGAATCAACGATCATCTTGAGGATAACAACATCATCCCAAACCAGCAGTGCGGCTTCCGGACTGGAAGATCAACATCTCACCAGCTCATCAAAGTGATCAAATCAGCAAAAGAAAACTTAAACAACAAAAAGTCAACAGGCATGATCTTCCTGGATGTAGAAAAAGCATTTGACAGAGTCTGGCATAACGGACTCTTGTACAAAATGCTCAAACTGAGATTTCCACTGCCACTTATAAAAACTGTAAGATCTTTCCTCAGTGAAAGATCTTTCGCAGTTTTTATTAAAGGTCAGTTCTCAGAAATCAAGGTAATCAAATTCGGAGTGCCACAAGGAGCAGTGCTTTCACCAACTCTCTACAACATCTTCACATATGATGTTGTAAGAGAGACAACCAACAACATCGGTCTTTTCGCAGATGATACAGCACTGTATCATTCTGCAGAGAACTCGGCTGATATTGTGACATATCTACAGCACACAGGAAGAAAAGTTCAACAATACATGAACAAATGGAAGATCAACCTCAACAAACAGAAGACTCAAGCCTTATTCATCACAAACAGGCACTCCAGGCAACTACCAGGAAATAACATCAAATTTCTCAACGAAAACATCAAATGGGAAACAGAAGCTAAATATCTGGGAATGGTGATCGACAAGAGAGTGACATTAAAGCCGCATGTGGAGTATGTGACCAATAGGGCTCACACCGCATTAAGACAGCTTTATCCGCTCATCAGCAGGAACTCACAACTCGACGTACGAAACAAACTTCTCATCTACAAGCTAGCCATCAGACCAATATTCACATATGGTTGTCCAGCGTTTGGAAGCATGGCAAAAACCCATCTTCAAAAACTTCAAGTACTGCAAAACAAATTCTTGAGAATTGTTCTCAATAAAACAAGATATGAAAGGATCACCGATCTTCATACAGAAGCGAAAATACCGTCCATCCAAGACTACGTCGGAAAGTTGCAAGCGAACTTCAACAGTCGTCTTGCATCTCAAAACACCGAATAAATCAAATGAAATACAAAAGAAAGTAAAATCCGTAAATGAAATCAAAATTAAGAGACAAAAGGCAAATTGAATGCCTGAAACCTTAAAACAAAAAGCAACAAAATGTATAGAAACTTTGTACATACTTAAATTTAAATGTAAATAAATAAAAAGTTTAATTTAAAAAAAAAAAAAAAATGGTACGTCTATGATACTAGCCCGAGTGGACACAGCTAGTTGAAGTCCATTATAGACAATCATTTACGAGTCTTTTAACTTGCCAAAATTTACAAGACATACAGAACTAGACATTAACTAGACATATGTGCAATTCATATGTCCAATTAAATGGAACGTGCAAAATATGTCTTTAGTCGTCCATAAGTCTAGTTGCAAAGGCAAGTCAATCGATACTTACTTGCCATGAATAGGCGAGACAGTGGCAAGTTTTTAACTAGTTCTCTGTCCACTCAGGTAGCTAATCTTAACACTAAAATCACCAAACTTAAGCACCTAATATTCAAGACTTAAGTCAACAAACCTTTAGTATCTAGCAGGCGCGTAGCCAGGAAGGTCATGTCCCCCTCTTAAGCGTTTTAGGCTATGCTCTCGCTGCGGTTTAAAACGTTTAAAGGGGGGACAAGATCCTTCTGGCTACGCGTCTTGTATCTTGTAAGATTAGCCTTATCAGCCTTAAGATCAGCCTAACCAAGCACTACCTGACAATCAATGTGATTTATAATTTTTACCTTTATTTTGTTTTAAAGCCTCCTAATATTTTATTGGACAAAAATTATAAAGCACTTCTTTGTGACTTTGGATTGGCCAGAAATATGACTCTTGGTACACAAATTCTGACGTCTATAAAAGGAACTCCACTATACATGAGTCCAGAGCTTCTTGAAGGACGTGGTTATGGACATGAAGCTGATTTATGGTCACTCGGTTGTATTATTTATGAAATGTTGGCTGGTGAGTCACCATTTAATACTCGATCGATTCTTCATCTCATGCAGCTGATTCGTTACGGAAATGTCAAATGGCCAAGTTTTTTGTCAAACACTTGTATCTCATTCCTTAAAGGATTATTGGTTACTGATCCATCAAAACGTATGGGATGGGATGAAATTCTTAATCACAAGTTTGTGAAAGGAAACATTTTAATTTTAAGTACCGACAAGTCAATTTCTGATTCTCCATTTACTCGTCCAAAAGCATCAAAGGATGAGAAAAGACTTCAAGATAGAATTCTGAAAATTTCTCAACTCAAAAAGCATGATTTTTCACAATTTGAAGATGTCATGTCATCAAGAGATTCCATTAAAGTTAATTTGAACCTGCAAAGTGACATGGACGAGACTGACAATGAAGACATTTCTGTTCTCAAAAATGAATCAGACAGCTTAGAAACTAGCGGTGAAGCAACAAAGAATGAACTTGAAGCTTTGAGAATTCCACAGCAGTTTCCAATGCATACAAATATCCAGCAATTCCAGCATGATGCAGGACCGAAAATTCACAATATTGGAAATGTGCAACCATTAGCTGAAAATTCAAATATGGTCATGCACAGATTTATGGACAATATCGATCCTGATTTACATCATTTTTTGATGGCACCACCAATTGCTATGCCATTGCCACAAAATCAAGTGCCTGGACCTAAAGTTCAACAGGAACTTACAGAAAAAATTGAACAAAAAGAAGTTCAAGTAAGCCTTAAAAAATCTCAAAAAACTCAATCCGATGGAATTTCGACAGATGTCTCCAGTGTTCCTGTTGAAACCGAAGAATGGCTGCAATTCATATTCAAGTCTATGCAGGAAGTCTTAGATGGTGATTTAGAGATTTATAAACAAGAAAACATGATGACAATTATTGTTGGATTATTAAGGGATCCAAAATTTAATTCAAAGCTGATTGATCATGTTGTACAGATTATTTGCTTGCCATACGCAATAGACATGCCGAAATCGATGATGGAAGAGATTGATAAAATGTATTTGCAGTTAAAGTTGGTGCCTAATTTAGTGTATGCATCAAAATTGTTGTGCAGTAAAAAGTTACAGGTAAGGAACAGATTTAGTAATTATGTTTAAGCTTATTTGGAACATACTAGCCATAGTAAGCATCAGTGGAGTTGCCAGGGAGTGGTTGAAAATCTCTTCAATTTGATAAGGTTTTTCGTGAAAAATGTGACTAAACTTCTTTAGAATCAGGAGCAACGCCCATCCGCTAGTCCGAGAATCTATAAAATCCCTAATTCGTTAAAATTATAATTTTTTGATTTTTCTGATTCCAACAGACACAAAATACATCATTATCTCCACAAAAACTTGAATCTCTAATGAACTTTAATGAACAAGAACTTAAAACTTTATCGTCAATCTACGATCTTGTCGTCTTCTTAGTCTACTCAGGCGAAACCTTCCTTCACATGCTTTGTGATGCAATGGCGCTTTTAAATCTTGATCATATTTTCAAAAATTTCATTGCAATTGGATGTGAAAATGACTCTAAGGATGCTGTGAGACTTGCAAGTTCAGTTGTTGCTTTAATATGTGCAATTCTTCAAGATCTTCCTGAAAATTCAAAATTGATTGAAAAAATAATTTTCAATGACAATGATAACGACGTGGATGTTGACTTGTGTAAGCTTTTGAGGCACGAAAATTCAAAAATTCGTCTTAGAACTTGCTTGATGTTGAGATTGCTTGGAAGGTTTTGTTGTTACTCTTTACAAAATCAATGGAACACGGAATTGTCAATGATTGTTAATGATGAGCTGACAGCTGATAGTGATGATGATGTCCGAGGAGAGGCATTGAATGTGATTGAGGAATTTAGAAATTTTTATTGGTTTAAGGAGAAATTTTAATGTTTGAAAAATAATGAATATTGCAAGAAGAAAAATAAAATTAAAATCAAAAACTTTATTATTATTATTATTTATATGTCGACGTTACCGTCCGGAAGAATTAGTATTTATACATGTTTTACTTTTTACATTGATTAGTGATACATTTCATATCACTATGGGTGACGTAGAATCAAGCTTCTAATCTTCAAATCTGGGTTTCAAATAAACTAAGGCTCTCGTTTCAATCTTCTGTGGGCGTGACGTGATACATTTCAGGTCCGTTCTGACAATATTCCATTATAAGGTAATCTTGTAGCTCTCGTTCCTATTTCTCCCGCTACACTTCAAGTTTCTGACCCGTTCCTTAATCCAACGTTGCCAAAAATGCCCAATTATGGCTTGATCTCGTACATTAAGCAGTCGAAGAATCTAAACTTCTGAAAAAGAACAAATTTGGAAATGGCTGGATTCGAACCGACGACCTTCGAGTTACTATACCAAATTTGAGCCAAGTGCCTTACCTATTCGACTAGCAAGGCACTTAACTGCTTACAAAATAAATTATTCTAAATTAGTTTTTGATGGAATTTATAGCTGTTTTATCTGACCACCTTAGTTATAGGTTTTTGTGTCACTTAAAAAATTACAGAAGTCCTCGTATTATTGATCGAGGAACTTAAGCGGATTTTTCTTTTAGCGATCAGTATTTGATTATCTAATTATAATGCGTTCACTTACTGATCATGAGAAGATTGGAAGATCATTAATTTTAATTTTTTCATTTAACTGATTTTTGGAATACAAATTTTTCACCGTTAAAAAAATTCGAACTTTTGAACGCACCCTGATTACAATTTTTACAACGGTAGAAATTTCGTTCAAATTTCTGAACGCACCCAGCACGTGTTTTTCATATGAAATAAAAAATCATTAATTAAAGTATAAATACACTGTTTTAAGACATTTTTAACTTTTCGGCCGACCAAAAACTCACTTAAACTCAGCTAATAAAATAAACCCGAGCTCTCTATGATGTCTGGTTAAAAAGTTTTTCTTGACCCGAACAGCCGAACAAAGAGTATTATTAAGCTACCTTTTAGAAATAAGTTTCAAAAATGCGCTAAAAATTTACAATAATTCAATTGATTGCTCTCAAATGCATGAATCAAGAAACATCGCGTGAATCAACTCAATTGGAGAATCCCCGAAACTTACGTCACTTTGAATATGTATGCAAAGATCGTTTCTCATTTTCTTCTCTTTTTGAACAACTCTCAGAGTTTTTTTTTTCAAATTCAAATGATCGTGGGCATTAAAATAAATAAAAAACAGCTCTTCAGTTTCTCTCTAATTTTTGATCAATTGAGACGCCAAAAGTATGTTTGTTGTGGACGATAAAAAGTAGAATTTTAAATTTATTATTTAAGTTTAGTGCAACATAACATTGAGTCAGTTAAATTTTAAGTAATTTAATATTGATTGAAATATTTATAGATTGTTGGAAATGTGGTCAACCAGAATATTTGTCAAAACTTCTTTTATTTATTAATCTGAGCCAACAGCCACCAAAACAAAACAAGCCGAAATTATCAAACAATTAGCGAATGCAAAAATTGTCCGGATGTGAAAACATAAAATAATTCTAAAAATAATGTAAAGTCTGATAAAAAAAAAATGAATAAGGTTCTATCAACAAATTACTCAGAAGACTTTAATTTATTTGTGGAAAATATTGAAGGTCAGTCGTGTGACATTCTGACTATAAATGAAGTTCCTTCAGTATTGTCAGCATTCCAGATCATATCATCACAGTGGTTTCGAGTTGAAACAGAAATAACTGCTATAAATTTAAGAATCAATGAAAATTTTATTGAAAATTTTCTCGGAAATCCTTCAATTTATGATTTTCATAAAAATCGTGTGGCTTTGATCACATTTCAATCTGTTATCAATGAAAATAATAATAGTGCCATATTTTGGAAAACTTTTGGACATGAAAAGTTTTATTCACTTAAAATTTCAAATGATCCAAAAGGTGCCGTGACTGATTATATTCAAAGGTTTCTGGTGATAGAAATAAAAGACGGGAGATCAGGTTAGTAAAAATGTCATCTTATTGTCAATAGAAAAATTGCGATCTGTTGAAGATCCTGTGTTTGATAGCTGTGTATATGGGGTTTAAAGCTCAATATCAATCTGAGGAAAGTTGTATTTCTAAGTCCATGTTGATTTCGGGAATGGTTGGTTGTAAACCTCACCATCTCTAGCCTGAATGTCAGCTGCCAGCATCAGTGGTCTAAGTTGTAGAGCGTTGGCCTTACGTGCCAATGGTTCTATGTTCAACCCCAGGCCAAGTCAAATTTTAGAAGCTCTGTTTCCATTTCATGGTTCTAGTTACGAAGATCAGTTCGTGTGTTCGGTATAGTTTTGAAGTCTTTGGCACAGAATATGTCTCTTTTGCTAAGTATACAGCATCTGGATGATTTCATTACAGCATCTTGCGAACACGAATTATGACTAGGTACATTGCAGAGCACCCGAATAGCACAAATCGGTTAATCAAATAGAAATCCGAAAGCAAGCCGGCATGACTCTGGCAATGTGCTGGACTAAAATCAAATCTAACACCATGTAAGATTTATGTCGGTTTTGTGCCGGATCTCTTTTCGATTAAATGACTTGTGCTATTCCGGAGTATATCAGATCTTTAAACGAATTCGTGTCTTTGCAATGTGCAGAGCTTGTAAGTTGTTCGGATTCCACTATAAACATAAGTCTAAAGAATGTGGTACAATAGATTCTTTACAAATAGAATCGCAGTGCCTCCAGCTGAAAGGCTCTCATTTCCTTGAATTGAAAGTAAGTTAAACATAAATTAAATATTCCCTACAGGCATCCTCAAAACCATCTCTAATCAATATGACATAGATTATCGCCAAATTGGGAATGACAAAGGACTAAACTTGTTAATGCTGACTGCGAATGACAATCGTGATGATATCATTGAACAAATACTGCTTTATGGTCTTGATATTGATTTTGAAAATCGCGATGGCTTAAACGCAATTGAGTGTGCTTGGTCAAATTATATCAATAATCTAGAAGATCCAGATATCTCTGTAAAAAGCAACAAAATAATTTTAATCCTGCTTAATGCAAATTCCAAATTTCCAAGAGATTTTGACTTTAAAAAGGCTTCAGAAGAATTTCAAAGTTTTTTGCAAATGTGCGAAAATTTGCATTCGTTGGCTGCAAAAGATAAATTTGAGGAAATCAAAACAGTTCTCGATCAAAAGCCAAATTTATGTCACTTTTACGACAGGGACAATAAATCATTGCTTGCATATTCACTGCTGGAAGGTAAACAAGAAATTGTTGAGTTTCTCAGTAATGGAATCAGTATTGGATGTCATGAAGATCTTGATGAAATCTATGAAGATGTTCCGGGAAGAGCTTTACGTAATAAATATCAAATATATGCTAAGGAACTGCCAGAATCTCATTTATTCATTCTTAGATCAAAATGTAAAATTGGATATAATGATAGGAATTCACATGAGCGATGGAAGTACATCGAAGAAGCTTTTAGAATTATCGATTCCAATGAAAAATGTTCAAAAATTCTCAAAGTTGCTTCAACATTTAAGAAATTACGAATTTATTTTGATTTTATTCAAGACACTGTCTACTATTTAGACCCAACTCAGTCAAAATTTACAGGTGGTGTTGCTTACAACACCGGACTGATTTATATTGGAGCAAAGTATCTAATTGATCCGGAGAGGAAATTTGAAGTTTTTGGAGTTATTATTCATGAATTGTGCCATGTAGCATTAAATATCACTTACATGAATAACTTCAATCCATATTCAATGGGAGAATCAGTAGAAAAGATGCTGTTTGAAAATCTAGTCGTAAATGAATGCAAAAAGTATAAAAGATATGAAATTATTGTTAGTAATGTCTTTGATTCTTATCCATTAGAATATCAGCATTCAGAATTAATTGTGACAGTTGTGCAGATGCTGATGCATTATTTTGTAAAGAATCCAGCAGTTAGGTGTCACAATTCATTCAAAATATTCAGGAATAAGCAGAATTATAATAAATTATTTAAATTTTTTGAGAAATATGTTGAAATTGATTTGGAAAAGGCATTGATAGTGTTGAAGCTTCTTGATGATCATGATTATGATATTCAATTTAAGGAACTGACCGAACCAATGAAATCAAAAATTTTACACTCTAATATAATATTTCAAGGAGAAAAAGCTTCATTTTATGACATCATTGGCGATGAACATGAAATCCTTAAATTATTAAATTCTCAACAAATTCGGACAATTTTGGTCTATGATGATCCCATCGTTATTGGAAGTCCATGTACAGTCTCTGTAAATAAGAAATTTATTGAAAGGAAGTTTGTGATCCAAAAGCTTGTTGACTTTGGTATGGACATTAGCTTAAGTGACTCTAACAGCTCAAAACCATATGAACCGTTTAACATTGAAAGTGCTTTAAAGAAAATCATGAACGAGGAACCATCAGAACTTAAAAGATCTACGTGGTATGTGCCTCTGAATATAAAACCAGAGGATTTTGATAAAATTAAAGATTTTGAAATGATAAAAGAGGAAACAAGGGAATCAAAAATTTTCGTTCTTGCTGATTACGCTGGAGCTGGAAAAACAACGACCTTCAAGAGCCTCACTGAAAAATTGAAGGAAAGCTACAAAAACTTTTGGGTATCATTTATAAATTTAAGAAAGCACATTGATGTGTTTGAGGTATACCAAAAGAATGGCACAAGTATTAAAAGTATTCCAAGACTTCTCTTTGATGTTATGACAGAAAGTTCAGACATGGAAAAGCGAATCTTCTATAAATTGTTAAATGAGAACAAAGTAATATTGTTGGTTGATGGAGTTGATGAAATAAGTCCAAGATATAATCAGTTTTTGGTGAATGTTCTCAAAATATTGAGGTGAGTTTTATTTTAAGGGGCATTTTAGGGTAGTCTTGAAGATTTGACTAAGGGGTCGTGCACTTATGATTTCCAACATTTAGGGAGGGGGGAGGTTCAAAAAAATTTGCGACACATTGTGACAGGGGAGGGAAGGGGTCAGGAAATTTGTGACATCCAATTTTTTTATCAGGAATTTATGATTTTTTGTGTATTGGATTGGACGTCACAAAGGGGAGGGGGGGTATTGACATCTGCGACAGGAAGATAGGGGATTCTAAAACTTAAGGGTTTTTATGGTCGTCATAAGTGAACGGTCCCTAATAAAAGTCAAAAATATATCCTTAAAACCATGCTGCGGACAAGTCGAAAAACAGTTATTTTTTGGTTTGAATTTCAAAAAACCGTTAAATTTCAATGATTTCTTGCAAAACAGATAGTAATCTTTCTTCATTTCAAATTTGGAATTACTGTAGTTTAATACATTTCATTGAGTCTTATTTTGACACCAGCCTGAATATGGCTTTAATTCAACTATATCTTGATTAATTATTAATTTTGATGAATGAGATTTACATATATCATGAAAATGTGGCATAAAAAGTTTAAAAAAATTGTCGAGCGAGAAAAAAAAAGCTTTTTTTAAGCTTATGAAGCCATACTTCACTATGAGTTTAAATGCAGTTCCTTGAGGTGCATCCATTGGGATCTTTCCGGCTTCGTCGACGAAACTGCAGAACTGATTTATTGCTTCTTCAATGTTGGGGATTCTCTTTAGACGTTCTTGAGCTTCTGTGAATTTCTTGAAAAGGCTTTCATTCTTTACTGCTTCGTTGAGTTTCTCTGCATAACTGATATTATTGATCAGTTGTTGCTGATTAATCTCTTCTTTAAATGTTGCTGATGAGTTACTTGCAGCATTCACTGGATGTGAATGAGCAGAAACTTGATGTCGTTTGCTTAACGATGGAAAATTGTTACTGTCCAAAAGACTTGATATCTGTGGCAGCATTTTGAGTTGTGGTTTGGCTCTTGACTTTTCGATTCTTTTGGAATACAAAATGAACGATGGGCACAGTCTATAACTGGCAGCATGATCGCCATTGCAATTAATGCACTTGGCATTTCCATCACGAGTGGATCGTTGACATTGATTTGATCCATGAACTTCCGTGAACTTGACGCATCGGAACTTATATCCACAATTTTGAGATGAGTGACCCCAACGTTGGCAGATGAAGCACTGCGTTGGGCTTTTGTTGCCCTTCTTGATGTTCTCCCACTTGACGATGATGTTGTCGATGTTACGGTGGTTATGATTGAGCACGTTGATGTTCACACTTTCATCTTGAAAATGCACAAGATAAAAGGTGAACTCGGGCTTCTTGACTAGAATTGTCACTTTGACAGCTGAAACCTTGGCTTCTTGAAGTAATCTTAGTACTTCATTCGTTGGTGTTTCGTAAAATCCTTTCAGAACGAATGACTTTGTTTTCTCCGATTTCTCGGAGAAAGTATGAAATGGGATGCATTGAGACCGCAATACGCTGATTATTGAGGCCTTGTCCTCAACATTTTTGACTATGACTTGTGTTGTAGCCGCTGATGAAATTTTAAATGCAGGCTTAACCTGCAAATTGATTTGTGAAATTATTTTTCTCACTTCATTAATATTTTGCTGGATGAACAAAGGCTTTTCAGCCTTTGCAGCTGTTACTGGAACTTCAGGTTCCGCCGTGGAGTTTTTTTTTCTGGAACTCGTTTTTTTTTTGTTTCTTGAGATTTTGTTTTGATCCACTCGGGATTTCGTCAAAGTCCATTTTTGGACTTAAATCCTGCTTCCTTTTGTGTCTCTCCATTCCCAATGGGCAGCAGACAGCACCGTGTACTTAAATAAATAGTTTAAACAACTATAATTAACTTGGAAACTATTTAATTAATTAAATGAAATTTTTTCACCCGTTTATGCACGAGGGGATTTGAACTTTCTTGATTTCTTGCAAAAGCTAACGTTAAAAGTAGGTTTGGTCAAACAAATTTTATGTCGTGCTTCTTATTTAGTTAAAATCATCCAAACAAAATTAATAGAATTTAAATATTAATGCTTAAAATCCTTAAATTTTGCACATTTTTAACGGTTTTAAAATATTTGAACGCTAGATCTACTTAAAGTCTGTAGCATGCTTAAAACAATTGAATTTAAATTTTAGATACAACACAAAAAACCAACTTTGGATTTCAACACGCCCTCAGCATGCTCTACAAATGGCAGAAATGCTAGGAATCTTAATTCACAACTTCATCCCATTCACTGAATTAGAAAGAAGACAATCTGTAGTTGAAACATTAAAGAGTTTTAACATCACAAAAGAAGATTTACTGTCAAAAGCTATTGATGATTTTGAAAAATTTTTCAAAACGATCGAAGTCCGATCAAATGGTCAATTTTATATCAACAATCCACTTTTAGTTGGAATATTCTCTGAACTTTATTCAGAAGGTGAAATTGACATGATTTCAACAAGTTTTGGTGGAATTTATGAGAAAATGATTGACAAGCAAAAGAGAAAAGTTGATAAAAGAGTTGCAATTAATGACCGAGATCCTTTTGAGGAGTTTTCATTGAAGAAAGTTCATCAAGTTTTTGCAATTAAGTTGCTAATTACTGAAGACTCTGAACAGAGGTATGGAATCAAGCTCGATGATTTCGTGATATTAAAAGAGTGGAAAAAGAGAAAATTAAACTTTACATCCGAAAAGATACAACGCTATGGATTCTTAACAGTCGACATCAGAGATGACAATAGCTCTATTGATTTCATCCATAGAACTTATGCTGAATTTTTTGTCGCTGATTTCATCATTTCCTTTGTGTACAGATCAGATGAAGGAACAAAAGATGAAGAATTTGAGAAAATATTCAAAGTTATGGAACTTATTGATGGTGAATTTAATGAGTTCATTATTGTCAGGAACTTTATATTCAGTTATATCAAAAATGAACTCTATGTGAATCCTTGTCCAGTTCATAAGAAAATTTCAGAATTAATAATTGCAAAATTTCCAAAAAATCACAAATTTTCTTATGAATTTAAATCAATTCAGTCGTTGGAATATTGGTCGACATTTTTTATATACGAACCAGAAACATTGAAGAAATTATGGCTATTAAATGAGAAGGAAGATCTGTTCAAAAAGACATTATTTCATTTTAAAAACTCTTGGACTAACGATAGTGATTTAATTAAAAATATTTTGAATTACAAAACCTTTAAAAACTATTCAATTCCTTCGGAGATGATCAATATTGACAAAGCAGTCAGTCTTTTAGAAGATATTTTTGCAGTTGTTGAGAATATTTTTGGAGTTTGCTGGCATATGATTCTTGATCAATGTAGACATAGCTTGGTGTCAAATGAAGAACTAGATAGCTACAAATCTGATAAAACCTACGACAATTTTAATAAAAACTTACTGAAACTTTTAAGTCTTATGGAAAAGAACTACAGCAACAAAGAACGTCAAATAATCCATGAATCATACTTTAACATGGTTCTGGTCAAAAAAAGCATTTCAAGGCATGTCTACCTTGCCATAATCCATAACATTCTTCACTATATTCAATACGACATAACCATCAACCTCATTAGTTTCACATTAACCTCTCAAATTCGAGCTAAAGTCCTCAAATTCCTAATAGAACTTCTTAATGGTGGGATTTATTGGCAATCTGAAATAGAATTTGGGTTTTTGAAGTATTTGGGACAGAAAATTGAAGTTTTGCTGAATAAAAATGGAGATGACATCAGGAAACTTCTGTTTCGTAATTACAGGACAGACACACATCTTCTGGTTCGAGCAATTCAGTCAAATAGCACGGAAGTCTTCAGATTATACAAAAATCTATTTCATAAATATTCAAATTCCTGGGATGGGATTCATTTTCAAAAGATTTTTGGGAATCATTTTCGACTTTCGAGTAATTTTGTCCATTTAACCGAGCCGATACTCAAAGAGTTTGAAGAATTATTCATAGAAATCTTCAGGTCCAATGTCCTTCTTCAATCAATAGCATTGGATGATTTAAAAACTTTCAAAAAATTTAAACATTTTTACCAACAGTCAACAAATATTTTGAATAAATCAAACCTTTTGGAGGCCTTTTTAGAACATTTTCATCCAGAGATTGGAAATTTTGACACACAAACTGAAACAATCCAGGAATTGAAAAGTTTTATCGAGGATATTTTCTATTCAGACAAGGAAAAGTTTTCAGAATATAAAAGAAATTGCAAATTTATTTCAATGATGTTTGGAGATGCTGTTTGGATAAAACGAAGGGAAAGTTTAGATATTGAAAGTAATAATGCTGTTCATTCTGAATTTACTTTAGAAAGGCTGTTTTAGTTATGTATGATTCTGGTTATTGTGCCGACACGACAATCAGTTTTGGAGTATTTTACATATTTTGGAAGTTTTGACTTCCTTGATCAAAAGTATTATGATTTATACAGATAATTATCTCAAGTAGTCTTGAATTCAAGTGGTCTTAAAAATCAAGTAAACTTGAAGTCAAGTATATTTGAAGTCAAGTAGGCTTGAAGACAGGTAGAGTTGAAGTCAAGTAGATTTGAAGTCAGGTAGACTTGAAGTCAAGTAGACTTGAAACTTCTATCGAACGAAGCGAACTCAAGTCGACTCGTATTTACTTCAGAAACATTTCTCTATATTACAGAATTATTTCATGATTCTTGACTTTCAAGTCACTATTCTATATCCACTACTTACTTACTTCGCTGGCCGTACAGATCAATTGTGATCTATGGCCTCATCAAGTTGGCTTCATCGCAGGCTACCGTTTGCGAATTATCCATACCAAATGCAATACTGTCTCTGTCAACAGCTTCTTTTTAAGAGTTCTTAGGACGTCTGCATGATCTTTTGCCATCTACAAAAACTCTAAATCCATCAACTTCTGTTAATACTCATTTGTCTGACTATTTAAAGCTTGGTTATACTTTCATTCACCTCCATTCTCAGTTACGAATTATATGATTTTAGTTCTTTCAACTAATCAAGACTAGTAATTAAATTATTCGTAAATTTTATTTATTCTCATTTATTTAATTTTATTTACACATATGACTTTATTTTAAAATTTAAATCTTAATTGTAGCACATTTGTTGATTTGTAAACTTTATTTAAATTTAATCTATTTTTGAATTTTGATATCGATAATTTTTTTTTTTGAATATTGAAATTTATAATTTTATTTTGAGAAAAACTCTGTTTTTTATTCCACATGTTTAAATTTATTTCTCGCAAAAGCTCATTTTTAAGAAAAAAATTGGAATTATTTCGAATAGTTTTTTAATGTTTACGCAAAAGCGTAAAAGTTATTAATTCAAGATCCTATTAATTTTGGCATAAAAACTGCAGAATCTAAGTATGTTAAATGCAGTCATATTTTGTGGATCAGAATGCTTGCGATTTTTTATCAAAAGTAAAACTTTCAGATTAATGTGAAATTCTATATTTTTATCAAATCGTGAAAGTGTAACTTGAATTTGAGCTATTTTTTAAGGCGTGGATGTTCGTGCCATTTTTATTAAATCTTGATTTTTATAAATATAATAACACTTTTTAAAAATTAATTTAAATAAAGATATTAAAAAGAAAAATTGCATTAAACTTAAAATGTGGAATCACGGAAATAAAGATTGATTTATTTAAAACTAAAGTGACTAAAGTACAAAAATTATAGGAAAGTTTAAAAAAATTTCAAACAAAAAATTTAAAAGTTGCAAAACTCAATAAAAAGGATTGATTGCTTTGTATACGCTAGCCCAGTTTATAGGATCCATCTGGTTACTTTACATTAGTTTCATTTATTCTCAAAAAAATCTTACATGCCCTTGATTTTACGATTTTAATGTTTTAGGTTAAATTCAATGGAAAACCTAGTTCGTACAAAGCAATCATCCCTAAATGTGTAATCTAAATTGTTTTATCTAAGCTTAATTATTTGTCCGAATGTTAAACTTTTGATACAATAACTAAAATGTCAATAAGCCAATAAAATGACTGCCGCAAGTCTCCTTCACACAAATATGCTGACTTTGTGAAACTTTCGATACGAAAACCCATCGACTCGAGTGTTTGAAAGTAAATGTTGATTTCTTCGTTGAATGGCAGTGACTTTGCAGGCCAGTGAGATAAAAGCGGCTCAACTGGAAGGTGAGATGAGCCTAGGAAGAAAAATTTATTTTTAATCACTTCCATTTATTATTTTGAACATTTAACTTACTTCTCTCTACAAAATGATTGTACGGTAGCACCAGCGCTAAGAGCGCACGTCCATTGGGATGTAAACTTTGATGAATGTCATTAAGTAATGTCTTCGGATCACTACATCGATCCAGCACATTTAGTGCACTTATCAAATGAACATTTTCAAGCGATCGAATATCATTGATGACTGTAAAGTTTTTCTCACGCAGTCGGTCCTTCATAATGTACGACGATTCAGATGCATATACATTTAGTGAGATATTACTATTGAGGTGGGTTAGTGCTTGTGCTAGTCGAAGGGTTATTTCACCATCACCTGAAATTAGTAAGGTTTTATTTAAATTGGTTTTTTTAAAAATAGTTTTAAAGTGCAACTTTTGAAGACTTACCAGCACCAACATCTAAAAAGTCTACATGAGAATCGCTGCCAAATTGGAAACCTCCACTATGCAAAAAGTTGGCAAATTGCTAAAATATATTTAAATTTGAGATTTTTTGAAATCAAAGTAAATGCATGATTTTTGAAGATCTTTAGAATTCCAAAGTTCTACCAAATCAGCCATAATCTTTAAAATATACAATAAATACTCACTACTTCCGACATAATAAACATGGATCCCCTCTTCAACAGTCCATTACAACAAGTTTGTGTCAGAAATAGTTTAAGAATTGCTTTACAGATAATGTGCCACAATTGAAGCCACAAATCAGCTGATTTAGATTTGGACTGTGAAATCCAATGGAGTGTAATCGGATCTGGTTCAGAAAGGTTGAAAAATTTGGAACGGAATCTTTAAAAAATTAAGAATTTAAAATTGAATTATTGAAGATTTATTTAAGAAATCCATTAAAATTGAAATTGTTGACTTACCTGTCGATGATTTCTTTACCGTCATTTGGCAATTTGTACCACAGCTTGAAAGATAAATTGTTCATAATTTTGATTAGAAATTACAAGAAATTTTCAAATTTAAATTCAGAACTATACGAATTGTTGTTTTGATCATATCTTTCTATATCTCAAAAATATAGATATTTTTGAATTTCAGAATTAAAGTCTTTAAGTTTAGAAGACCAAACATCAGCATGGTTATTTTATGACATCCAATAACCAAATTATGTATTTGCATGATTACTTGATTTACTTATTCACACTAATTTTCCTTATCATTTACAATTCATATTTTACTCCTTTAACATAAAATTTGAATATTATTTTAGTTCATTCACAACAAATATGCTTAAAGAATATTTAAGTGTGGTTCGTGACGTACTTTTTGTAAATTTTTCAAAAATTAAAATTTTTTGTTTTTGAGGTGTTTTTTTCACTAGAAAGCATCCTGAGTGGACAAAAAACTAGTTTAAACTTGCCATTGACTTGGCTATTCATGGCGAGTAAGTATCCATTGACTTGTAATTTCTGCAAACTCTTGTGAAGTATATGGCCAAAAAATTAATGAAAATTATTTTTAAAATTCAAACACAACATGAATGTCAAGTTAAAGTCTAGTTAACGTCTAGTTCTGTATGTCGTATAAATTATGGCAACTTAAAAGACTGGTAAATGTTTGTGCATTAATGGATTTTAACTAGCTGTGTCCAACCGGGATCTAGTGAGTGTTAAGTGGTAAATGTAAAAACATCTGGCAAAAAGATTAATTAGGCACAAGGCTCCCGCAGATCATAATCTTAAAAACAAAGGTTAAAATCAGAGATCGAAGCCGATTTTTTCGGCTTAACTCAATTTTTGATTTTTTTGATAGAAAAAAGCCATTTGACACCCATTTCAAGTATTTAAATTGAACTTTACATGCTTTACTATGATTCTGTGTAATATTTTGTCAGCATGTAGCTATAGTGAGCTCAGAATTTCAATTTAGCCGATTTTAAGCCGATCGGCTTAAATTTCGGCTTAACATTCTTTAACTTGAAATTCTGAGCTTCCTATAGCTACATGCTGACAAAATATTACACAGAATTATAGTAAAGCATGTAAAGTTCAATTTAAATACTTGAAATGGGTGTCAAATGGCTTTTTTCTATCAAAAAAATCAAAAATTGAGTTAAGCCGAAAAAATCGGCTTCGATCTCTGAAAAAAACTCTCAAAAAAGTGAGAATTATAAATTTTTAATTGAGAGGCTCGTACAAGTTTGAATCAAATTTATATATAGTGATTTCTGCATGCTCTTGTGAAGTATACGACAAATGTCAAATATAGAATAGAATGATTTTTTGAAAAAGTATTTTTTTGCTTTAACAAATCCTTTTTATCTACATCGAAGGAAAATCTGGGGAAAATCATATCAAACATTTTTGTTGCTAGAGATCAAGACACAAAAAATAAGCTTTGTTGTTAGGTAGAAAGGTCTGGAAGTTTTCGGATCACATGCTCCTTAATATCTCATGAAACATAAAGGCTAATAGAAACGCTAATAACGATTGATTACTTATTAACCTTTGGGAATTTAATTTTTGTCGGATTAAAGAACTAAAGACAAAGAAAAGAAAAAAATATCACAAGGCTTTATTAATATCAATCGATTATCCTCGCGTTGATGAATTATTCATCAATTCATGCAGATTTATAATTCAAGAAATTTGTTTATTCTTATAAGGATTGCTTTGTCTTTGTCTTATACATAAATTGCAAGTGGAGGAATGAAATTAACTATGATGAATATTCATAGATAAAGTTTGAGTCTAAGTTGAATTTTGTCACACTTTCACCTAAAACCTGAGAACAGAGAGCTTCAGATGAGTTTGTGTAGATATGGCTCGAAGAGCATATCTGTAGGAAGATAGGTCTGAGCAAAGGGCTCGCGTTGAAACTGGTTATATGTGTATGACGGATAGCCAAAAGAGATAAGTCGCCGATTTGCAGGGATCTTTGATCGAGTGGTCAAAAATCACCTCTTTTGAGGTCGTGGGTTCGATTCCCATGGAACCCGACTTGTTTTACATTAGGATGCACATATGGCAGTTATAGGGAGATCTACAGTTTGATGATTCCATAAATTGAGTCTTATAAGAAAATAACCTGCTTTCTAAGGACATGATATGAGCTAAGAGGATAATAAAATATCCGATAAAAATCCAATTTGTTTCTTAACAGAATATTGCTTTTGTGGTATGACGATGGATACAAATAGAAAAGTTTCCTGATCCCCAGAGATTTTACTAAATAAGATGATTTTGAAAAAGCTTAAATAAAATCCTCATTTGAATTTTATTCTTAACTTTATAGAAAATTAAATTCATCTTTGTTACAAAAAATGTTTAATTTAAATTCCAACGTCATCTTTTCTAATAAATATTTTCGGATGAGAATCAAAAAACATTGTAAATTCAATGAAAATTGCACTTAAACTTGTTTTAAAAACTTTATCTGAATTTCCTGCAATTCTTTCATTTCAAATTAAACAATATATAAAAATCACATTAATTTAATCAGTCCCACTTAACACTTATCAAAAATACTCACTTTCATGTCATAATTCTCAATATATGCATCATTATGATATTTGTCATACAAAGCACGAGCCAAAATACCGCGCGGTCTGGCCATGTTTAGTCACTACTGCTCAAATAAGTTAAATTTAATAAACTAATGGAATCAAATTGGTTGTAAATAAAAAAAATACTGAAATGAGTTTTTATTGTAGTTGAAAAGTTTTCTTCTTTTCACCCTTTTTCGTGTTTTTTGAACTACCGCGCTTAATAAGGAGGATAATTTTGAAAATTCAGAATAACCAAGGCGTGGAAACTCAGGATTAAACCTGAAATATCACAGAAATCCTGAAAAATTGTTGAAACAATAAACATGAAAATATGAAATTTCTTTTAAATTCCGAAATTATTCATCAAATGCATCATGAATTTCACATTTTCCTGTTTATTGACTCAGGCATTAATTTTAAGATTTTTGGGATTTTTCAGGATTAATCCAGAGTTTCCACGCCTTTATAATAACAAATAAAGCCACACCAAATGATTTCTAGATTAAAATGTTGATTTTTAAGTTAATTTATTTTTAACGAGGAAGTTTAAGATTCACAAACATTTTTGAATTCTCTTAAACAAACAAAATAATAATTCCACCTCAACTTGCAAAGGGTCCTGATACTTTTCAATATTTACGTTCGGTACAACAACAAGTTGAGAGGAAAATAAACTTGATAATTTTGTTTTAGAAGATTTTAATTCAAAAGTAAATCTGCAAAAGTAAATTAGTTTCTTTTAAACCTTATTAAAATCTCAGGAATTTAAGAACTAGCTCATTCTTAGGTAAATATTCTTAATAAAAAAAATCATAACCAATTTTCAACTATTTTTCTTATTTTTAGTATTCGGTTATTCAAGAATTTTCGTGACATGCAATGAGTTTAAAGCTATAGCTTTCGCATCTATAAAGTTACATAATTAGATGGCCATATGCTTACAAAGAGACGAAGCAATCAAAAAAAAAATATCAACAAAAAATGTGCACAACCTCAGAAATTTTTCACACAAAACTCAACAACACATTTGGTATTAAGAACGAATCAGAAGGATATGACACAATTACATTTGAAGATTATAAATTTACAGAAAATTTTCACAATGCATATATTAAAGAGGAACCTGTTGATTGTTATGAAATTGTGGAGCTTACTGATGTGACTGATATTCATCCTTCTTTAAAGTTTTATGATTCTAAAGCTAGTGAAGAGGACGAATCAAGTGAAAGGATAGAAAATCATGGACAGATGCTTGTTGATAATGAAGGATTTAGGAAGGATGATAAAGCGTTTATTTTGGAACCTAAAATGAAGTCATTTAGTGATAGTCAAAATAAAAATGAAGCAGATAATACAGAGTTAAAAAACAATAATTGTGGACAACATGTAATCAAGGATTCCTCAGAAGACTTAAGTTTGCGAAGTGTCTTGTTGAAACTAAGCTCTCCTAAAGAAGAGGCTGAGTTTAAAACTGATCCTGAACATGATTCAGTAATAAATACAGAAAGGTTCTCTTTAAAAGATCGTAAATGTTTCTTAGTTCATGATCATAGCTATTCTCAATCTGCAAATGCTCCTATATTGAACAAATCACATTCTGATGATGATGGAGAAAGCTCACAAGATGATGATGAAATAGAATCAGTAAAAAAATTCTCAGAATCAAAGTTTTCAAAAAGAAATAACTCGTCTGTGAAACTTGAACATTTAGATTTAAATAAAGTCAAACTAAAATCTGACAAAAGCTCTTTAAAATTACAAAACAGCCGCAATCGATCAAGATCAGAATCATCAGAAGAGGCTTACTTAAATCAACCTAATTTAGATGACTTGAATTCAGAATCCGATGATTTAATGGATGAAGATGAAGATGGAATTCAGTATAAAGAAATATCTCCAATTAAACTTAATGATGCTTCAATGAGCTTTTCTGAAAGTTCTGAGGACGACCATTCTTGTTACACTAAATATTCAAACAGCAGTTATGACATTCAATCAAAATACAAACAAAGTTTAAACATGGATTCAATTAAAAATGCTGAAAATATTAGGATAAAGAAGAAGAAGAGAAATGAAATTGCAAGTCAAGTGAGCTGTGATATTAAGATTAATAATGCAATGGATTTAAAGAAATGTTTTGAGTATTCTTCAAATAAATCAGCAAATTCTTTGAAATCAAACAAAAAGAGTTCCAATGGAGAAGTAAAATCAAAAAATAAAGGTTCAAAAATTTCAAAATATACACTATCAAATCAGCTAGAACCAAAACACCACAAAAGCTCTAAAACTTCATTGATAAAGTCAGCACAAGTAACAAACAATTCAATCCAATCTAGCACAATAGATCTGTCAACAGATTCATCAAATTCAGACACAAATGTTCAAAGCATTCAAAATAAGAACAAAAAATCAATTCAAATTGAACCTAAACCCTCACAACCTAGTCATCCATTGAAATGTCCAGAGTGTCCAATGATCTTTAACGATACTCTTCGTCTTAACCGACACAGCAGGACACATCAAATCCCACAATTTCAATGTAAGAATTGTCTGCGAAAATTTAAAAGAAAATCAATGTTAAAGAAACATTTTTGTGATATAAAATGTACATCCTGCCCTGACATCTGCACATGTGAGATGGATGACACAAGAGACTGCATAATTTGTCAAAAAATTAATTTTCGATATTTTGTTGACTATAAGCAGCACATGGTGACTCATCACAATGAAATTGTTTATTGTAAAATATGTGAGAAAAATAATTACACACTTTTTAAGCACAAGCAGTTTGGACATGTTGTTGTAAAATCATTTAAATGTACAAAATGTACATCAATCCTAAAATCGAAAGAACAACTTGATTATCATATGGAGATTCATGCTAAAAATTTCTCTTGTTCAAAATGTAATAAGATTTTTTCCCGACGATACCTTTTGAATCAACATGTATTGACCCATGAGAATCCAAAGCACTTCCACTGTGAGATTTGTGATAAAAATTTTCAACGTAAATTCTGCCTTGATAAGCATCGAAAAGTCATCCACAGTGACAAAAGAAAGGAAGAGGATTACTTGAATAAGCGTAAAGAAATGTTTGGTGAGAAAAGTTTTGAATGGATCAAATGTAACAAATGTCCAGCACTGTTTAAGAGCAAGCAGAGTCATAATAAACATTTGCGTCAAGCTAAATGTCACTAATTTTCAATTGCTTTAAAATACAATTTAAATTCATAATTCATTTCAAAATTGAACAATAAAAAAGTAATTAATATAAAAATGAGAACGAAATGTGTTTTTGTCTTCGCTAATGTGTTTGAACAGATGAAGTAGTTGACGATATATATCTTTAAAATAATACTCTACACGTGCCGTTTATGAGAAGTGATGAAATTTTTTCAGGGTTAATGTAAATGTTTTTAGCTTAAGTTTTAAGCTATTGGTTATTATGCTACTTTTTTTGATTTTTGCATATATTGCAATTCTTAATTTTACTTTTTTTTTCAATTTGAAGCCATTTCTCCTCAGGATGTAGTCGTACTTTTAACATTAATCATCCAATTGAGAAAAAGTAAAACTTTTCAGATGACAACATCTATTGCTTGTGACTATTTTATAAGATTATTATGGAATTTTATCATGTGGCTTAGGGCCAAGGCTGACTATCTGCTTGGCTTTTCAGAGGACAACCCTCTATTTTTTTGATTTTTCAATAATAGATGGTTTTGATTTAATTCCTCCAAAAACCGATTCAATTTGTTAGACACGTGGGATGTCCTCTATTTTTTTAAAAAATATCTTATGCTTAGCGAAATGAAAAAATGTTGAATATCCAAATGTAAACTTTATTAACCTAAAATCACAAACATTCCAAAAAAGCTTAGTATTAGACATAAATTCCATAGATGTCTGTTTTTTTAAAATTATCAGCAAGTTCAGCGACTTGAATTTTAGTATAAGGCTTTGATTTCAAAACTCGAAGTTAATAAAATTTTGTGTAGAGTCGAGTCGACTTCTCCATATTTTCATCTCATGTGTATCTAATAGATTTCCAGTTCTTAAAATATATGTCGTTAAAATTATAAAAATATTTTATAATGAGTGATTTAAATTTATTTTTTATGCAATGCCCATAAGTGCACATAGGTAGAAAAGAATTCAAGGTTTTCGGAAGATGCATCTTTTGATACATTATTTTGAAGTCTTTGTATTAAACTTAACCTCAGATTAAATTTTACCAAACACACTTTGTGCGAGTGAAAGCTTTCAAACTAGCCTCTCTTAGTGTGGCGTTTCTCACACTTAGTATCGAAACATTATTATTATTACTTTTTTCTTCAATCTTATATTCAAAGGAAAAAGACTCCATAACAAGTACTTAAACTGAATTTTTAATAAAATATTGTTTACATTAATTAGTTTATTTGAAAGGAAAAACTCTTTTTAATTTAACATCGTTATAGATTTGTGACAGTCAAATATTAAAAAAAAAAACCTTTTATAAGTAATGAACATAGATTTAACATTGTTTAATTGACATATAAGCCAACTGAAGCTGATATAGGGCAATTCCACGAGTAAAGGGAACTGAGAAAAAGAAAGTTGTAATATTTTTCTACTTGTACAGTGGGGGAAATAATTATAGGCGAATTGATATTTTCAAAATTCTCGAAAATATAAACATTTTCAGAAAATATGTTCTATGTGAAATTTGTGCAGCTTAATATGACGAATATCCCAGCGAAAAATTTTTTTAATTATATTAACTAGAAAAAAAATAACGGCCATTTTTTGAAAAATATGCGTTTCGCAAGTGGAAATAATTATAGGCGAATTTTGAAAAAAATTGTAAAATTTTACTTTAAACTTGAAATTCACTTGAGTTTTCAATTGATTAAGTTATTTAAACATTGTTTCAATCCAATTTGACATTATACGCACAATAATTACTGATTTAAATATATAAAATTTGGTCTTGAAATTAGCAAGGAATAAAATTGCAAAAATCAATGTTTTACGCCAATTTGGCAACGATAACTCCTCGATTGCATATGAAATAATTAGATTTTATTGCAATTAACATAGCTCAATAAAAATTTGGTGAAAACATAGTCAGAAAAAGTAAAAATAAAGAAAAATTTTGATCACATGGCCAATACAAAATGAGAAATTTTTAAAATTTTCACTCAAATGAAAGTTTTGGCTACAAACTAAGGATGACTTCTACTTGCTTTTATCATATCTATGTTTTAAAGAAGATATTAAAAAGATTGAACAAGATATATTTGCAAAAATTGTAACAAATTACAAATTTTCAAAAGATTCAAACAAATTTTCATTGCCTTGATTATTATTACGATTATTACACAAAATTATGATGTTAACATGAAAAAAAACAAATTAAATTCATTATTAACCCCAAATAACCCAATAAAATGTTATTTTTCGAAGAGAAATTATTCTTAGCAATAAATAAATTTAACGGAAATTCAAAATTCAAATTTTTATGTTTTTTGTTGGTTTTGGATAAAGCGCTGAAAACTTAACCGATCAACGCAGTATTTTTTAATTTTCTCTGTGAATAAAGCATTTAAGAACAGAAAAGGTGTACAAATAAGTTGAAAAAGTGAATATTTATGGCTTAAAAATATACTTGAGCACAAAAAATGGTTATTTGTAGACTTTTTTAAGGATATAAGAAGCGAAATTTTCGTAAACTTAACCGATTAACGATGAAAAAACTGAATTATTTCAGTAAATAGACCTTTAAACGTTTAGCTACCTATTTTAAAATGAATAGAGAGAGTATTTTGATCAAAAAGAATTTTACTTGCATTTTTTCACTCATGGAATTGCCTTATAGTGAAAAGGATTATAGTAAACAGACTCCTATGGGCTGGACATATTATAAGGAGACCTGTGGAAGCTTCAGTAAATAAGGTCTTTAAATCTGACTTCGTAGATGGCAAGAGATCACGTGGACGACCAAAGAACTCGTGGAAGGAAGCTGTTGATAGAGACAGTATTGCATTTGGTATTGGAAATTGGCAATCTGCATAGAACTAGTTATAGGCGTCAACTAAGGGAGGTCATGGATCACAATTGATCTGTACGACCAGCGAAGTAAGTAAATAAGTAATTGGCGTATAACATATTCAAGTTTTAACTTTGATCCCGGACCCAAAAAATTTGCAAAACCGGGGGATTAGAAAATCATATTTAACATAAAGAAATCACAACATAAATAAAATTATTAATTTGAGTTAACTTTCATCTGTACCAAACAATAATCTAGCTCGTCGAGTCTACAGAATGCAACTTAAAGACACGAAAAAAATTTTTCGTCCGAAACAATAGAAATTTCATCCAATTTCATCAGGAACAAACGGATCATTAATCCGTTGTCCATTTCTGGAATTTTTGCACGCTAAGTTGTAATGTTTCAACTTTATCTTAGAAAAAACATTAATTAAAACACTTACTCCTTAATTTCCTTACACCTAAGCTTCTTATTTAGCTTAAATTCTTCTTTCCTGATGTGACATCGAAGTGCATAATCAAAATCACTAATATGAGAAGGCTATGATTGAATTTATTATTACCAAAAGTAAGTGGGCATCTATTGCCTTATTCCGTTCTCGCTTTTTGTGGGTGTAATTTATTGCTGATGTTTGGATTTATGGACTTGGAGCCTGATTTGGAGAAGACAATATTTGATTGCATATTATTGTGGCATGTTATAGACTAAAGCAACAATATTGAAGTGAAAAATTGGCGAAAGTCCTCGTGTTATATATCGAGGGTCTTCAGCGCATTTTTGTGTAAGCGATCAGTAATTGATTATCTAATTATTTTGCGTCCATTTACAGATCATTAGAAGATTAGAAGGTCATTAATTTTAGTGCAATTAACAAATAATTAAAATGAACCCTTACATAATCATTTAACGGTTATTTGAATTTCAAATTTTCTAACGGTCAATAAATATTTGAAATCATAGAGGTAATATTGCAATTATAGAGGTAGTCAAAAAATTTGAACAGGTTACACTCTTTGAAGAAAATTTTTCAAAGGTTGCACTGCATTGAAATTTAAAAAAGAAAACATTAATTATAGTATTTAACGATGGTTTTAAGCTTTCAAACTGATTGATGCGCCAATAAATCGATAGAACCGAGCTAACGTAAAAAACTAGAACTCTCTGCGATGTCCAGATCAAAAGTTTTTGCAAGCCAGCCAAACAAATCGTATTATAAAGCTACCTTTTCAAAAACAAGTTTTCAAAAATGCGCTAAAAAGTGCGTATATTGAAAGACAAAACATAAATCACAATTGATTTGTTCAGGCAACAAACGTTCACGTTAACCACGATCGATAGAAAAAAAATATCGTATGATTAATTTGGTATTTATTGTTTAAACATATTGACAGTTTTTCGATAACAACATGTGTTTTAAGAATGATGAAGTAAGAACAAATAATATAAATATTTTTCAGTTGTTATGCAGCCTCGATTAATTCTTTAAAACATTTAAAACATTTATAATAAATAAATATCATGTGTTGATTTCATGAGAATTGAAACACACATTTATTTAATAATTTCATCACTAAATTGATTATATTATCATCTAAATCAATCATTTTTTTGGAATATCAGTTAGAAATGATGATTGAATTTACACTTTGGCTTATAGCAAATTTCGTCCATAAGTTTTTCTACTTTGTTATAACTCGTATTACATGACTAATGCATCGATCATATTTAAACTTTATTAAACTTGGGAACAAAGCTCTTCATTAACTCATTTAGTGATCTTCAAAAAATCACTTAAAAATTAAGATAATTGTTATAAAGCATAGCTGAAAAAAGTGCTTCAATACTTGGTACCGTAACATGTTCTGAGCATTATCTTGAGGATGTAACGGTACCACGAGCATACTCATTTATCTGTTAGGTTCATCACAAGCAGGAATCGAACCTTGGACCTATTGATTGCCGGTCAATTGCTAAGCTATTGGGTTTCCCCATTAAAACTTTCAATTTGCAAATTTATGTGAATCACTTTTGTTCAACTATCTGTTCTAGAGCTTATATCCTTAGTGTCTCATCTATTTGTTTCGTAACTGCAGTGGCAAAGACACTAGAAGCCATTGGCACTTAATAAGCAAAGCTTATATCTAAGATGAAACTGTTGAACAGCTTTAAAAAATGGGTTCAAAGATAATAAATTGCACTTATTAAAGAATTCAATGAAATCTAATTTAGATGCTTTATAATTTCTATGCTTTACGATACACTTGTTCTGTTAAAGCCTCTTTTTGTAGCTACGACCCTTAAATATTTTAATTGCAGTACATTTTTGAAATAAAATATTTTAATGATCAAATTATATTAAATGTTAATAAAAATAATTTTTTAAGTGCAATTCAGAGATTTTATGGTGAAAGTTTTAAAAACTTAGGAAACATCCGGAAGTTTGTTTTTGTAAAACTAAGCAAGCAAAGCTCTCACAAGCTCTAAACAAGCTGTAAAACCAATCCTAAGCATGCAGTTATCTTAAATTTTAATTTAAGGATTCCTAAGGTAGAAAATTTTTAAAAAGTTAAATAATTCTAGGATTAAGTTATATTTTGTCTTAAAATTCCTGATTAAGAATAGAGGAAGCAACAGATCAAAAAGATGAATAAAATGCAGACTATAGCGTTGTTTGCTGATAAAAAAAAATTGATTTAAAATAATTAAGTAAAAAACTTTGCTTTTTAATAAGAAAAGTTCAGAAATTTTTATTTCAAAAATAGTTCTAAAGTTAAACTAAAATCATAAATATTCAAAATTCAAGAATCTTTTGAAATTAAAAAAAAATTAATTGATTTTTTTAAAAAAGTTTGAATCAAAAAATTTTAAAAAAGATATTAAAAAATATATAAATTATATAAACAAAATTAAATTTTTCAATCTTCAAATTTTAAGAAGTTTAAAATAATTCAAATTATTCCGATAAATAACAAAAAAAAACAATTGAAATTTACAAAAAGTTAAACAAAATTTTACAATAAAAAATTCATCAAATTTTTAAGTGATTTTTTTAAGCATGATTACATGTTGTACAAACTTTGCATGCACACTCATCAGTAACCCAATTTTGTCCTGTTGGACATCTTAAGTTCTTTGGTTCGTTTGTGCATTTGAAGCTGCATGTTTCCATATCAAAAACTCTTGATTTGACGCTTGTTGTTTGTTTGTTGCACTTGCACTGACATGTTTCAGCATCCCAACTGAAGTATTTTCCAAACTTAGCAGCACATCCCTCTGTTAGATAAGATTGAAAGATAAATGTTCAAATTAATGTTGTAGCTAGGGTTAAAATGTGAACATTACCTGATGGTTGTCGTTCAATACACTGAACCATACATGAAGCCTTGTTCAATTTCTTATAGCAATTAATTGGTCCGTAATTATTGCTGCATTCACAGTCGCATGTATCAGCTAAATAATTATAATAAATTAAAATTGTTAAGTTTAATCCAGAATGGCGATCTATAACTTGTCTATAGACAAGAAAAAATATTAGATTGTAAACTTACATGAGAAGTATGAATAATCATTGTCGTTACATGTTTTAGTGGTCAAACATTTGCATGAGCATGATTCCTTATCCCAATATCTATTATCTCCACAGCCTAATCTTGGTGGTTCTGTTGAAAATTAATTTTAAATATTTTAAAGCTTTCCAACCTTCAATTTGATTGTCAAAGGCTTACCTGTTGCACATTCGCATTTACAAATTTCTTGACAGAAGACCTTTCCTTCACCGCATCCGGGATCTTTCGTTTTACAAATTGGAATGCATTTACAGCCAGTCTTAGGACTGAAGAGTTCTCCACTTGGACATTTCATTTCATTTGGACAGCCGCATTTACATGTGTTTGGATTATAAGTTTGTCCACTATATGGGCATTGAGTAATTGGTGGGAGACTGCAAACAGCTTGGCACTTCTTATCGCACCAAACTTTGTCAGCTGGAAGTTTATTTGGCTTATTTCCACACTTGCATCCACAAGTTGCTTGGTCAAATACCATTGGAGATTCACAATTTGGAACAGTTGCACATTTTTCTGTACATGTAGCATCATCCCATGTACGACCAGCAGTACATCCACCTTTAGGTGGCTGCATATTCTTTGGACATTGACAACTGCATGAGGTTTGATCAAATACCTTAGGTGATTTACAATTCTCTTGAACTGGACATACGCATTTGCATTGTTTAGCACACCAAAATTGAGCACCAGTACATTTTCCAGTAGCTGGACAACTGCATTGACATGTTTGAGAATCCCATGACTGTCCTGCTGGACATGTTTGTGTACCAGAACATTCACATTTACAGGTTTCACAGTTCCATTGTTGATTGGATGGACATCCACCGCCAGGCATTTCTAAATTAAAGGAATGGATATTTTTCAGTTTATATATAATTTTTGAGTATTGAGCTACTTACTTGATTTACATTGACATGAACAACTGTCAGGATTCCATGATTTTTTATCTCCGCAACTTGCAGGAGTAGCCTTGCCAGGTGGACATTCGCAGGCACAAGTATTTTTATTCCACTTTTGAACACCCTTGCATCCTGTTTCAGGACATCCTGGCTTGCACTCGCATTCGCACTATATTAAAAATTATACGAACTGTAAAATAATCTCTAAGGGAATATGTTCATTTATGACTTCCAATAATGTTCCCCTTGGATGTCAAAAAATGAAAGTGTTTAAATATTTTCAACTCACCGCCTTGTCGTTCCACCATTTATTTCCACAGTTATCTGCAGGTTTCTCCATATTCTTTGGACAAACACATTGACAGCTATTTTCACACCATACTTGATTGCCTGGACATCCCTTTGCTGGCATACCTGGATTGCATCCACAACTACATGTTACATTAGAGTATTTTTGAGAAGCTGAGCAAGTTGGAGCTGGAGTTGGACATCCACATTGACATTGATTATCGTTCCATTTCTATTGAATGACATTTCAATTTTTATGCTGTTATTTTGTAATTTTTATAGTTAAACTCTTACCTGACCACCTTCACATGTTGTCTTAGATTTATCTTTTGGACATTCACATTTGCATTTGTCTTCATTCCATTCTTGAACACCTGGACATCCGTTAGCAGGCTTAGGGCTCTTACATTTACAGCTACAATCAACTGGACAGAAGTCTTTTCCTTTTCCTGTGAATGATTTTTAAGTTTGATCTTTTAGTCGAAAGACAGTGTTTTCTCACACTTACCGCAAGAATCACCAGGTTTCTCATTAGGACATTTACATTTGCATGTATTCTTATCGAAGATTTGTTTTCCTTGGCATTTCTTTTCGTCACAAACACATCCACATTCTAAATTGCTGAATCTAAATCCGTCAAGACATTTAGGTCTAGTTTCACATCCACATTCACATTCTGATTCAATGAATGTCTGCTTAGCAGGGCAGTTTGTATTGACTGATAATAATATTTTTATATAGTTTAAGCTTAATTATTATTTAAAAAAATTACCTTGAGGGCATGTGCATTTACAAATATTATCGCACCATCTTTGAGGAGCTTTGCAGTTTCCAACATTTGCACATTCAATGGCACACGTTTCATTGTTCCATCTTAATATACATAAATAATTAATTTTAAAAAAAATTGTCTAATCTCGCTTTAAACTTACTTTTTGCCTTCGGGAATTACAGATGGCATTGGTGATTTACAAACGCAGCTGCATGTTGCTTCATCGAATCTCTTGTTTTCGGCACATGTCATTTGTTTGCTTGCTGGGCATCCGCATTTACATTGATTTTCCAACCATCTATTATTCAAAATTAATTAAAATTTTTTTTTTGTGTATTTTTGAGAAATTGAGAACTTACATTTGTGGTGCTACGCAGTCATCAGCATCATCAGCGTTTTTACATCCACACTTGCATGTATCATGGCTCCATGCTTTAGGACACTTACAATTTTGCATCTCGTCTTTGTTTTTACATTGACATTGACATAAGTTATCGTTGAATTCCTTCAGAAATTAAATTTTTATAAAATTCTATATATTTTTTTATTTGTAAAATAGATAAATACCTTCACATTGCCACAGTCTCTGCTAACATCTAATTAAATTTAAAAAAATATAATTTTTTTGTTTTTTATTATTTTCAATAATTTTTCTTAAATTACCTCCACAGCCACAAGTACATGTAATATCGGACCATTCAGTTTTTCCAGGGCATTCTATGAAAGTTTAAAAATAAATTAAGATTTATTTAAAAATCTTTGCATTGAAATTTCTTACTCTTAGGTTTTCCAAATGGACATCCACATGAGCAAGTGAAATTGTTGTATTGCTGAAATTTTAATAAAAAATAGTAATAATAAAGCTTTTGACTTTGCAATTTATTGTTCATAATACCTGTCCACCAGGGCATACTGTTTGTTCATTGGCGCATCCACATTCGCACTTGTCTTCACTCCATGACTGAAATTATTTTAAATCATTAAATAACGTTAATTTAATTAGATTGAAAAAAAATTTACTTGAGTTCCTGGACAGCAATCTGGTTTAGATGGGTTACAATCACATGTGCATGTTGCCGAGTTCCATTGTTTTGGACTTAAACATGCTGGCATTGAGGCAGCATTTGGACAAACACAATCACAAAGCTCATCACTCCATCTGTAAAAGTTGTTTTTTTGCTTAAAGTTGTAAGAAATATTGAAAATTTATGAGCTTACTGTTTTGGTCCTTTGCATTCTGTTTGTAATAGGAAATAAATTAGTTTTAAATTTCTTTTGATTTTTAGGTTATTTCAACTTACGTTTCTTATTTGGGCATTTGCAGCTACAAGTACGTTCGTCGAATCTGTCACAAAAATTTATAATGATTAAATAATGAAAAGAACAATTTGAAAGTTTTACTAACTCTTGTTTTCCTGAGCAAGACATTACGACTGGACAGCCACAAGTACAAGATTGACTGTTCAAAACTTGAGGTGACTTGCATTTTGGTGCATTTAAGCAGATACATTCGCAAGTATTAGCATCCCATACCTATTATTAAATTGTTTAATTAAAGTAATTTTAAAAAATAAATAAAAAAACAAATTCCTTACTTGTGGATCAGCGCAAGCTATAGAAAATAGTAAAATAATGATTAAAAAAATCATAATAAAAATAAGCAAGACTTACTTTTCTTTGTTGGACATTCACAGTCACAGGAAACATCACTCCATTGTTTATTTCCACAACCTGAAGATTTTCAAAGTTTCAAAGTTCAATTTTTATTTTTTTAAATTTTAAGGAACAAACCTTTAGCTGGCTCTGAGTTTGAACATTTACAAATGCACTCATCATCACACCATCTGCATTAGAAATTAGTATCAAAGAAATAGAAAGTATTTTAGATACCAGGAATAATTGTTAAGATTTGGAACTGAGGCACATAGACTTAATTGTGCCTTTGTTCCATCTTAAAATTCATAAATAATACAAACTTTTGTGCTCCAAGACATCCACCGGCTGGTTTTCCTGGAAATTGAAACAAAAATGTTACCTTAAATATTCATTTAAATATGAGAGTTTCCTACCAGGTACACAATTACATTGACAATCTTCTTCTAACCATGTCTTAGCTCCGCATCCACCTGCAGGTTTTTTCATTTCTTCAGGACAACCGCATTGACATTTATTCCAGTTATAAGTTTGTTGCTTTGGACATGATGGCTTATCAATGCCACATCCGCATTTGCATGTATTGTTATTATAAGTCTGTTCATCTGTACAAACTGGACGTGGTTCTGGGCATCCACATGAGCAAGCAAGCTTGTTCCATTCCTGCAATTTATTTTTATTTATTGTTAACATTTTAAGCGTTCAAAATTGATTTATTGCTGGCGCGTAGCCAGGAAGGTTTTTTCCCTGCACCCCCCCCCCCCCCCCCCCCAAAATCAATTACTTACTTGACCATTAAGACATCCTGGCAAAAAGTAAAAAACAATATTTTAGACTTTAATTAGCAATTATAAATGTAGCTTTTTACTTACCACCCTTTGGCATTTTCTTATCTTTAGGACACTTGCATGAGCAGTCATCAGCATCCCAAATCTGTGGATCACTACAGGTTGGATTACTCTTGCACTTGCATTCGCATGATGATTCATCAAAGTATTTATTGTCTCCTATTTAAAAGAGTTTTGAGTTATCAAAAAAAAATAAGTTCAAGAATAACTTGACATGAATCTTACCGCATTCCTTCTTTCCACCTGGGCAAGTACATTGACAAGATTCATCGCACCATTTCTTTAAAATAAACAATCATTAAGTCAATCAGCAAAAGAATTTTATTTAATAGCTTTTGTAATCACCTGATTTCCTTCGCATACAGCTGGTGTTGTTGGACATTTGCATGAGCATGATGAATCGATCCATCTATAATAATATTTGAGTTTTCATTAGCAAATAGGCAATTTATATATCAACTTACTGTCTTGGTGCGGTGCACTTTTCTTTATCAGCCAACATGTTTTTAGGACATTTACATTCGCATGTATCTTTATCAATTATTTGTGGAGAAGAGCATGTAATTGATGATGGACATTCACACTTGCAACTTTCACCATTCCATGATTGTGGACCACATCCTTCAGTTGGCATAGGTTTTGGACATTCACATTGGCATGTGTCTGTGCTCCATCTTTTAAGTCCACATTTAGATGCTGATGCTTCACATTCGCATTTGCAAGTAAATTCGTTAAATCTATGTAAAAATATTATGTAATATTTACAGACAATTGAGATTTTGAGAATTAAATTACGATTTTCCAGTTCCACATCCTCCAACAGGCATTTGCATATCAACTGGGCATGTACATTTGCATTGATTGTTGTCCCAAACTAATGGCTTATCACATCCTCCTTTAGGTTCACGATTAATGCATCCACATTCACATGTTTCGTCACATCTTTCCTTTCCATTAGCACATGGTGGAGCATCAGTTGGACAGATACATTGACATTGTGTTGAATCCCAAACTTTGCCATTTTTGCACTCTAAATTAATTTGATTAGTAAAATGTTAGATCAATCATAACATAAATTAATGAAAAGAATCAAGATCATTACCATGTTTAACTGGACATTCGCAAATGCAATTATCTTTATCCCAACTGTAAAAATTTATTTTAAAATTTATCAAATGCAAAAATAATATAAAATAATTTTTCATGTCAAGTACATACTTTTGTGGTTTGGGGCATCCACCTGATGGTTTTTGCATGTTGACTGGGCATTGGCATGAACAAGATTGAACATCATAGAATTGTGGAGCTGTGCAAGCTTTGTCTTTGTCACTACCAGGGCATACACATGAGCAGCTATCCTTGCAGAAAACTTGTCCGCCTTCACATTTTAATTCATTTTTGCAATTACATTCACAAGTTTCTTTATTTGCTTCCTTTCCTGCTGGGCAATCTATATAAGTTTAAATAAAATAAATTATCGTTTAAATATTACATTAATGCTAATGTTTTATTAATTTGCTCACCCAATTTAGCACAACCGCATTCACAAGTGTTTGGATTCCAGCTTTAAATTAACATAAAAAATTAAAATAAAGAATTTAACAGCACAAAAATTTTCTTACATTTTTCCACTTTCGGTACATTTTTCCTTCTTTTTTTCCATATTGGCTGGGCAAGCACATGAGCATGAGTCATCATCCCATCTCAATGGAGCTGCACAACCACCAGTTGGCTCAGCAGTTGGACAAATACAGCGGCAGTTATTTTTACACCATGTCTTTGGACCCTGACACTGTCCATCAGCCTTACATTCACATGAACATGAGCTATCGGACCAATCCATATTTTTGCCGCATTCTAAGTGAGATTAATGATTTAAAGATTAATGTCCAATTTTAACTGATGAACAGTATGATTTTTACCTTTTTTATGTGGACATTCACATCTGCAATCAACTTTGTCCCAAATTAATGGTTTGGCACATCCGTTAGAAGGTTCCTGCATATCAACTGGGCAACCACAACTGCATGACTCTTTGTTCCATATTTGAGGTGCACTGCATTTATCAGCACTACCAGCATTTGGACAAACACATGCACATCTTTTATCGCACCATACTTGTGATCCTGGACAACCGCCAGCTGGCATTGGAGCTGAGCATTTGCATGCACAATCTTGGTTACACCAATACTGTCCAGCTCCACATCCTTCCTTTGGTTGTTCATTTCTGCAAACGCAACCACATTTATCTTGACAAAAGATTTGTTTTGCATTGCAGACTTTCGATTGACACATTGAGAATGTACATGATTCAGGATCAAAAAAGGCACCGATTGGATAACATCTGTTTTCTCTTTTGCAAACACATGATTGCTTGCGTTCGTTCCAATATTTTCTGTCTGGACAGCGAGCCTTTTTAGGCAAGGTGTATTCTGCTTCAATTAGCAAAACTAAATAAGACACAAAAGAATTCACTGAGTTACTTTTCTATTTAACGAGCAAAGCTACCCATTTTTAAAAAAAATTGTTTTAAATATTACTAGGAAATTAAATGAACTCATGGACATGTAGATTGTAATATAAAGTCAAGGCGTTGAAATTCAGGATTAATCCTGAAAAATCTTAAAAATCCTAAAAAGTCCCTGAGCCAATAAACATGAAAATGTGAAATCTCTTTTAAATCCCGAAATTTTTCATCAAATACATCAGGGATTTAAAAAGGGATTTCACATTTTCATGTTTATTGGCTCAGGGACTTTTTGGGATTTTTCAGGATTAATCCTGAGTTTCGACGCCTTGTATAAAGTATATTTATGGTAAGCTTAAAGCCTTAAAACCATACTTTATTAATTAAAAGCAAGACTCCCGCAGATTGCAAGCTTTAAAGATAATTTTATAATCTTCTCAAAATTAAAAAATTAAGCAGTTTTAAAAAATTATTATAAAAACTTTAAATATCTTTTGAGTTAAAATACATTAAAATAAAATGAAATGATTAATTATATTAATATGATTAATTTGTAAAATCTCACATAATTTTACTTAAGGTTTTTCTTAAAACACTTGAAAAGTTTGCGTTTTAAACAAGAATGGTAATGAAAATTGAAATGATAATTTTATACTTAGATATTATAACTAGGCAATTATTAAGTAAGAATTTTGCTTTAATAAAAAAGTTTAAAAATATTCCAGATACTTTTTTGAGATTTAAGTAAAAAATGTGCTTGTCAAATTCAAAGCATGAAATATTAATTTTTAAATAATTTAAAAGTTTGGATTTGAAAAATTAATTAAAAATTCAAAATTAAAATTAAATGTTTGAATTAAAATAATTAAATTAACTTCTCTTTACTTTAGAATTAAATATGAATAAAATCAAATAAAAGTTTATCAATTTTTAAGTTTATTTGATTGACTTTTTAAATTAAATATGTTTTTTGCCATTTGAAGACTTTAAATTTTTGAACAATTTTGTATTTTATAGTTTTAACTTAAATGTTTTTAAATAAGGCTTAAAGTAAAGTTTTTGAACAAATTGTATCTAGAAATATTTTAATATGTAATAAAATTATTAAAATCAATGTTTAATTGTTTTTAAACTTTCAATAATTCAAATATAAAATTTAAAATTAAAAATTTGAATTAAAAATTTATCAATAATATTTAAATTAAAATAAATTTTACAAAACTATTTAAACATTTAAATAAGAATTTTACTTAAAATTAATTCATTATTCTATCACTTTTTATTTAATTCCAACTCACCATTTACGATTAAAACAATCAATAAGCTTGATAAAGTCTTCATCTTCAGGAACTTCCCTTCAGAATTGATAAGGAGCTATCATGATGCAACGGAATTTATACGAAATTTTCGGCTTCCGATCGATCCGAAATCGAACGTTCGTTAAAAGCTCTTAAAAATATCTTTTTTAATACAATCAAATTTTCAAGTAATTGAATAAAATTATGAGACAGAAAATGTTCTACTCCACCTAGGCCATCTTGTTTTGAGATATGAAAATGAAATATTTCCAATTGTAACCTTCATGGAACCTGAGGTTCTTTGAACCTGAATTAATTGGGTTGCTTAATGGCTCGAAAATATTTACTTGAAGAAACTTGAGTAAATAAATTGTTATTAATGTTAATTTTAAAATAAATAATTGATAAATGATACTTTATTGAGATGTTTTTATTAATATTTTTAAATAAACCTAGTTTAGAGGTAAAGCCCGAATTCTTTTATTACATAAACTATCCCGAACTTAGAACACATGAGCACTACATTTGAGCAGTTTAACCTTTTTTTAAAAATCTTTATTTTTGAAAGTTTAAAACCTGTTTAAAGTTCCTTTATTTTTAATATTTTGACCATGATTATTACAGAGATTTTGATATAATTTTTAAATATCTTTAATAAATAATTAAAACATTCAAGCAATTTATTTTTAAATATGTTTAAGGTTTGCATGCATAGAACATCTCGAGCGGCTTATTGACTTTCCAAAACTTTTCATTAACCTGTTGCAATGTTTGACTTCCACTAAGAGCGACCAACTGTGATGAATTATTTGCGACATAAATTGTAAAAATTGAATTTTTTAAAACTGGCTCAGACAATTGTGCATCAAGTGTCAATCGCATTGCCAAATATTTAATCAAATGCTCTAGTGTTGCATTTGCCGTTGTCTTTAAGTACCGAACTGTATTATCTTTTAATGCTTTCATCAAGACATTCTCACTGTTCATTTCGGTTGGATGTGGTTTGAAAACAAGCTCAATCTCATCATTTCCATCTTCAGTTCCATTTTCAGTATCTGCATTTGATTCCATTTCTGTCATTTCACTGTTGCTCTCTGAATCTTCAGACTTTTCGGACTTTTCAGACGTTGTCATTACTGACTGAGCTCGTTTTGTTGCCGCCTTGCTTGTTGAACTGGAATGTGATGGAACTGGTGATGGAGTGCTTCGTGCTGATGGTGGATTTGATGGTTCACCTTGACTGTTTGCGACTGTTACTGTCGGTTCTTCACTTTGTGGTGCTTCACTTTCGGGTGCCTTTTTAGGACGCTGTTGTTGACGACTTTGGGTCTGAAGTTTAATTCCTTCTGTAATAGAATTCACAAGTGCTTGCTGGGAATGGCTTTTGTTGAATTTTGCGAGAACTCGTTCTTGATGTGCTTCATATTCATCGCGGCTTGGATAGATTTTCTGAAAAGAAGAGTTTATAAGAAAAAAATAAAGATTTGGAGTTGGAAGGAAAGAAAAGCTTAGTCAAAATCACAAAATTGTCAAGAATCAGGAATGACACTTAAAATTTGTGTTGCAACTTTAACTCACCAAAATCAAACAATCAAAATTCGGATCTGGTCTTAAAGATCTCTTTGACACTAGCTTTTTCCTGCAAGTGGGACACTCCTTATTTCCTGACCTCAAAGCCGTAATAATACAATCGCTGCAAAATCTATGCAAACATTCTTTTGTTGTCATTGTTTTCTTTAGCATATCAAGACATATTGGACACCTGTAGACACAAAAAATTTTCATTAAATTTTGCAAAACCAAAAAAATATAAACAAAAAAAAACTCACATCAATTCAGAGTGCAATGACCGAGGACTGACTGCTATTTCTGTATTGTCTGTAATGATTTCTTGCGGTTTTCGATTAAGTTCATAAAGGGACAAGTCCCATGTTTTATTCTGAAGTTGTTGTTCCATAAAAATTGATGAAAAATTTACTTTAATTTTAAAAATTGTTTTTTTTTAAGTCTGAATAGAAGTTTTTAAGATTGTAAGTATTATTTTAATAAGATGGAAGACTTTGATGGTTTTCAAAATTAAAAAACCGTTAAAATTACTTTTTAATTTTTTATTTTAATTTTTGAAGTGTGCCATGAAAAAGGTTGAATTTATTCAAATTTAAAGTTTATTTTCTTTCTAATTGTGCATTTTAAAGTATTTTATTTTTGGATACTGACATTGGTGAGTTTTTAATATCAAATATATTCAGCAACTCTCTGTTTACATTCTCTCTTACTCAAAAGTTCTCCTCGTGGGTCCTGAAACTTTTCTTTGTTTTTATCTTTTTTAATTCTCATTTAACAAAAAGTTTTTCTCAATTCTTAATTATTATCTTATCATCGAACAGTGCAAACGTTTTCAAGAGACCAAAAATCATGGCTGAAAAACATACAGTGACTGGATATGCAGGTTTTGTGGATTTTATGAAGAATTTCAGCACCGAAAAGATTATCAATATTTTGTTTAGCGGTGAAAAAGTTGATGGAAGTAAGTATTGGATATAATTTTAAGCTATTAGCGAATTAAAGATAAAAAATTTCTGATTAAGTAATCAAAGAACCAATATTCGTTTGGAAGATTAGAGTCGAGCTAAGATATTTTTTTTTTGATTTAATAAATTAAAACATTCATTTTGTATTTAAAGAATCAGAGAGCAATTTTTTCTAATCTTTAACATTGTTATCGAACCAATTAAAGCTTAACTACATAATCTTTTTGATAACACAAACTAAGTTTAATGTCCTATTAGTTCAATTATTATCTTTCAATTATGTTTTTATTTTATTTTTTTGTCACAATTTTTCCTTCAAGGCGTGGAAACTCAGGATTAATCCTTAAAAATCCTACAAAATCCCTGAGCCAATAAACATAAAAATGTGAAATCCTATTTTAACCCAGAAATTATTCATTAAATCCTGATGCATTTAACATCAGAATCCATCAAAAGGGATTTAACATTTTTATATTTATTGGCTCAGGGATTTTTTTATGATTTTTGGTGATTAATCCTGAGTTTCCACGCCTTGATTATCTTGGTTGTTCTTCTTATCAGAAATATTTTAGTGTATATCATAGTAAATCTCTACTTAATATCTCCATCGTCGCTTGATTTTAAAAATATATTAAATTAATTGCCGAATTTGTATGTCGATTTTTCAGAATCTTGGTGCCCAGACTGCAATGATGCTGATCCATTCATCGATGATGCCCTCAAACAATTTGGTGACAATACAGTTTTTATTTTTGTCGATGTTGGAGACCGATCAACATGGAAAGATATGAAAAATCCATTTAGATTGGATAAGGACACACACTTGTCGGTTATTCCAACCCTAATCAGGTGGAAAAATCCTCAAAGACTTGAGGGTGAACAACTTTGTAAACCTGAATTGTTGCAAATGTTTTTCACTGAAGAAGATTAAAAAAATTAAACCTTTTTGAATAAACATTAAATTTTGAAAAAAAACAGTTTGTCTTCTCACTTAAATGACTACGTAAGCTTCTGCAAATGTGAATCTTTAGCAGTACTTTTGTGGATCATATTATGCAATTTTAAGAGTTCATAAAATGTTAAAGATATGAATAAGGTTTTAAATAAATTTACTTTTTATTTTGTTTTGACCAAACATTAAAAAATCATCAATTTTGAATGAACTTTTAGCCAAATTGTTCCAACACTTATGATGAAAAGTTCATGATAATGCACTGAATATACGGCTTTCCAAATACAATTGTTTGAACATACAATTGGGTCAAAATCTCGATATCACTGGTGTTATAAGTTTCAGGCATTGTTGAATAATCTCCAATTAATGATATCAAATTGCCTAAAAAATCAGGATTTTGAGATGCCAAATAATCTAAAATTGTTCCTCGAATACTATTTTGTGTGCCAATTGTTAACGAATTAAAGAGTGCCATAGCATCTGTGCAGTCAGATACATCACCAGCTTTGATTTCTAAAATGAAAACTTTTAAATTATAAATTAAAATCTTATGTAGAAAATTCACAAACCTGCTACAAGAATTGATGAAATTATGAAAATTGCAAGCAATTTCTTCATTTTTAGTTCGTGTTTCTGCCAGAGGAATTACTTTTGTAGTGTTCCTCTCTAAAAATCAGCTTATTTTATGCAAAAATTTTTAAATTTCACACTTTGTTTAAAATTTTAAAAGAAGATATTTTATACTCTTCGTGACTTTGTTGCAAACACCTGCAAATATTTTTTTTTGAAAAGTTTGAATCAAGTTGCAATTTTTGTAATGATTTTTCTGTGACTTGAATCCAAAACCTAGTTTAAAGAAGATTGCACTTTTGATTAATGATTTTAATATTATTTTAATATATTCCTACTTCCTACCAAAAATCAATCATCAACCGTCAAAATTTCACAACCATTATCAGTAATTAAAATTGTATGCTCAAATTGACTAGTTCTGGATCCATCAATTGTGCTTGTTGTCCACTTATCCTCCCACAATTCAAGCTCATTGGATCCTTCTGAAAATATTGGTTCTATTGTAAATGTCATGCCAGGCTGCATAAGTTCCATATTTATAGTATTTTCAAAATGATAAATTTCTGGTGGACCATGAAAAAAATCACCAATTCCATGTCCAATGAATGCTCGAACATTACTGAGTTTAACTTCTTTGGCATAATTTGAAATTTCTCTACCAATCTCATTAAAGCATTTACCAGGTCCACAGATTCCAATAGCTTTCATTAATGCTTTTTGATTATGCTCAACGAGATATCTTCCAGGCTTATTAACATTTCCAACAAGAAATGTTCTCGACGTGTCGCCATGAAAACCTTTAAAAAAGACAGTGATGTCAATGTTAATTATATCTCCATCCATTAAAGCTCGATCATCAGGGATTCCATGGCAGGCAATGTTATTGACTGAAGTACAAATTGATTTGGGGAATCCACAATATTTGAATGGTGATGGATATGCATTGGATGCGATTATTTTGTTGAATAGAAATTTGTCGATTTCATCTGTTGTTGTTCCTGGCTAAAAATTAGTAGACTTTAATTATTTTATGTCAGAAATCTTAAAAGGAATATATCAGATTTTTTTTTTTGTTCGTTTTCACATCCTTAATATCAAATCTACCTTAACAACATCCTGACACATGTTCAATATCCTTGCAGCTAATCTACAACTCCTTCTCATTCCTTCAATTTGTTTTTCATTTTTAATCTCAATATTTCCTACAGTTGATGCTTGTTTATTGAGAATATGATAATACGGTGGTTTCTGGATATGATCAGGAACTGAATATGAGTCCTTTGTCACATTTCCAACTTCTCTTATCACATTTGGTGCATCAGCAAATTTATTTCTTTTGAAAAAGAACGAACGAAATAAAAATCGATTTGAAAACATTTTTAAATGTTTATAATTTTTTTTTGTTATTGTTTTGTCAGCTGATTCGGAAAGTTTGATGAAAATGTGAGCAGATAAGCAAGAGATAATAATGAAATATGAGAGAGGATTGCAGAGAATAAAGCAGCGAGTAGGAAGTCATCTAAGTGTCAGTGACAAGCGATTCGAAGTGTTATAGAATTTCAAGTCCCCCGGATCATTTATTAACACCTTAGCGGATGTCAGCATAGAAGTACGCAAATGGATTCACTCGGCGTTTGAAGCTTTCTTCAGTTTAAAGCATCTTTTATTATATAAAAGTCTGTCTAGAGGACCCAAGATCATGTATTATAAGAGGGTGATTCGAATTATTGCATTATATGGCTCGGAAACCTGGAATTCTACGCAAACGTATGGGGAAGCTATTGGTAGGGTGACCATCTGCGTAGTTTTACAACGGACAGTCCTGTATTTCAAAACCCTGTCCTGTATAAATTTTAACATTTTGTTCAAGGTCCTGTATTTTTTCACAAAAATTTCCGTTAATTTTCAAATTTTCCTTTGTGTCCTGTATTTTTTGGGAAATTTATCAAATGTCCTGTATTTTCATAAAAATTAGATGGTCACCCTAGCTATTGGTGTCGTCGAAAGACGAGTATTGTGAGCGATTTACGGACCTGTGAAAAAAGCTGTCTGCTTCGGCACTTAGAGTGACTGTTGCAGACTTTATAGATGACAAGAGATCTAGAGGAAGTCAAAAAGAACACCTGGATTGAATGTGTTGATTAAGACGATAGAATCCTAAATGTCACGAATTGACAGAAGGTCTCGAAGGATTGAGCTGTCTTTAGACGATCTCTGAACGCAGCAATGTGCCCACGTGCACCCAAGTCAAGGAAGGAAGTAAGTAAGTAAGTATCGATGATATTAACATAAACTCACTTGTTACATGAAGAACGAAAGCAAAAGGTTCATTTAATGTATTTTTTTTGTACAATACAAAATAAATACATTTGGAATTTAGGATTATGACTATTGAAGTGACTTCAGTTTTAAAAGATGAGCACTTTATATTTTATTCAATCAATTTAGACCAAATTTAAAAACCATAAAAATCAATAATGCATTGAATGTATTGATCTCTTTGATTAGATTGATCTGCAATATTGTACAACTGCACATAAATAGTTTGATCATCACCTACCGCAGATTCCGTTGACAATAGTAAATATTCCAAAGCTGCATCTAAAAGTGGTCGATTGATCTCTTTGAGAGATGGCTTCAACCAAAAATGCACGATAATTGTTTTTTGTTTCTTCTGACAGTGTTGAAAAACGTGCATTGTTATCAGTACAAAATGAACTAGAACTTAAAAGAAAAAAAAAACAAGTGTTTTTATAAATTTCAAACTTGTGAGCAAAACTGATGCGAAAAACAGGACTGAAAAAGTATTTTTCATTTTTAAATATTCTTCTTACTTGAAAGTAATTTTTTTTAATGATAATGAGAGCTTCTGTGTCTTTTTATTTATCTCTGATTATTGAAAAATGTCTCAACTAGAGCAAAATTACTGAATTTCTTAGGAAGTCGTGACTTGGACAGATTGCATTTGTTTACAGGAGATGTAAAGATCTGGCTCTAAATAACCTAAACGTGTAATTTTCTTGTTAATGAAAGCATTTTGCGTTAAGCAATAGACTGGAACTCCCAAACACTTGAATATTTTTGGAAGATTCATGCAAGATTTTGCAAGTTTCAAACAAATCACAAGTATTTGTGTAAAACTTGTGGTTTCACAAGTTTGCTTCTTGTTATTTAATTTAAGACACATGAAAAACTACAGAAAGTACAGCTTAGAACGACCGAGGATCGTCAACGATTCAAATTCACACCAGCTTTCAATTTGTGACTTTTTCATTCATTTCAGTCCCTGAAAATGGCTGATTTGTTAACTATATTAATTCACATTGTTCGTGATAAAACGAGCTATAACTTGAAAATCTCAAAAATTAGGAGCAACAAAATATAAAGATAATTTACTACTGGAAAAATAAGTAAAGCAATTAGACCAAACCCATTTTGATGAAGAAATGAAAACTCTTATTTTTATTTTTTTAAATTCAGTTCAAATATTTATTGAATCAACTCAAATTTGGTTTATAAACCAAAAAAACCGACAATACACTGGACATATTGGTTACCACCAGGTTGAGTTGCAATGTTGTATAATTGAATGAAAATAGCTTGATCATCGCCAGACATAAATGTAGATAATCGTAAAGTATCCAATGCTACATTTAACAGATCTTCAGGATTATTTTCATTAGTTGCTATCAAATTTCTACGAACGTCATTTATTCCATCTTCTGATAATGATGAAAATAAAGCTGTGTAATCAGTGCATGCAGTATTGGATCCACAAAAAACTCCTTTTAATTAAGAGAATTTAAAATAAATTTTAAATAATTAAGTTTTTATCGAATTATTTAAAACCTGTTTGAAAAACTGAAGCGTAAAAAAAGAATAATAGAATATTTTTCATTTTTAAATTTTTAAGTAAAAAGATTAACTGAAAATAAAAGAATTTGGTTCTCTATTTATATCCTTATTTTGTTTAAATTCCTCGACTTTAATTGCGAAACTATTAGTTTTATAGAAAATCGTGACTGATAATAACGACTCATTTATTCGCAGATGTTTTATTTTACTTACATACATACCTCCTTGTCTGAGGTGCACGTGGGCCCATTTTCTGCGCTTAGAGAACGTATGAAAACAGCTCTATCCTTCGACATCTCTGGCAGTTCGGGATATTCAAGATTCTAGCGTCCTTTTCAATACAACCAATCCAAGAGTTCTTCGGTCTTCCTCTTGCTCTCTTTCAATCCAAAAAGTCTGCTAGTCTTACTTTTAGTACCAGGGCATCTAAACACATGACCTGCCCATCTCTAGCTATTCGCACGAAGAACTGTTGCAATATCAGTACACATCGATACTCCTCTCTTTCTTTTTCATGTCTATAAATTGCTCGTAATACTCGTCGTTCAAAAACACCAAGTGCGTGATAAAAATTTTGTTTCAGCCAAAATGGAACCTTAGGTCATAATAATAATAAAAATATAAAAGGGGTTTAGTCAAGCCTTGTGCTACACAATACAACAGGCTCAAGGGAATGAGGTTTCACTCGATGACAATCTTTTTTTTTTTTTTTTTTTGGTTTGTATTTCATTTTATTTGTAAGTAACCAGGTGGTTGTGTTACAAAATATATAAATTTTTAGCTACATAGTGTAATTTTTATAATATTTAATGATTTAATTATTTATTAGCATCACAATACATCTCATAGAAACATTCTTTAATTCTAGTCTTGAATAAACTCAATGAAAAAGTATTCTTAACTGTCTGCTCAAGTGAGTTGTACAATAATAGTCCTCTAATGAAGAAAGTCTGACTTCCTAATTGTGTATGGGTGACTGGAATGACAAAGTTTTCTCTCTTTCTCGTTCGATAATTGTGTCTTTGATAGGCCGTTTGAATATTAACATTGTTTTTAAGCATGTTAGACGCGATTTTAAAAACTTGAATGCAAACACCAATTTGACAAAGTGTATTGACCGGAAGAATTCTTATGCTATACAATTCTGATCTGCTGCAGAACCAGTTTTTATTCAATAAAATTCTTAAAGACTTTCTTTGGGCAATTTCAAGCGAGTTTAAGTTGTACTGGGCTGCTGCTGACCATACAGTATTCATATACATAAGTCGCGACTGAACATGTGCATAATAAAGAGCTATCGCTGTTTTATCGCTTAGTAATTTTCTCACTCTCTTAACTGCATATGAAAACGATATAATTTTATCTTTAATAGATTGTATGTGATCTTTAAATGAAAGCGTTTCGTCAACTAATAAGCCTAACACATTTACTCTTTCTACACGTTCTAATGTTCTACCGTTGAATTGAATATTAAGCGACGTTTCGGTAAAGTTTTCGAACTTTTTTTTATTGTGGAACAATATGTACTTGCTTTTGTCAGGATTTGGAGTGAGTTGATTAAGATTAAGCCATTTACTAATTAGATCTAAGTCATGCTCCATCATATTCTTAAGTTCTTGTGGATTATCTGCTACATTCGCTAAAGACATGTCATCGGCATATAACGCTAGTTTGCCTACAATTCCAATATTAAAGATATCGTTTATGTACAAATTAAAGAACGGGTTTGATAATATACCGCCTTGTGGAGTGCCTTTCTTAATGATTTTGAACGAGCTTATTATATTTGAGATTTTAGTGGCTTGCTTCCTATCTTCAAGATATGATATCAGTAATTTGATGAAGGTTTTATCGAATTGAAGTGATTTTAATTTATTAATGAGTATGTCATGTCTAATGGAATCGAACGCTTTTGAGAGATCAATACATGTAAGAGATACGGCTTTTTTATTGTCAATACCGTTATAAATGCCATGAAGAATATGAGCTGTCGCGACTTCAGCATTTGAATTTTTAACGAAGCCGAATTGATTGCAATTGATAATATTATTACTGTCCAAATGATCTTGCAAGCGACGTTGTATGACGTACTCAAATACTTTTCCTACAATTGGGTTAACAGTTATTGGACGATAGTTATTTTTATTTTTCCTATCACCGGTTTTATAAATTGGTGTTACAACTCCAACTTTGAGTGCGTCAGGAAAAGTGCCATCACTAAGGTTTATATTTATCAACTTGGTTAAGGAACTTGTCAATGCTTTCCCGTGCATTTTAATAAAGTTATTAGACATACCGTATATATCGATCGCACTAGAGCATTTTAAGTTGTTAATTATCATGCAAATCTCATCTTCAGTAGCTAATGGGCATGTAAAGTTATGACTTATCTCATATGACAGACTGTGATTAATTGGTGGTATATTTTGGACACATATATTATTAGGTGTTACATTGGCAATGTTGATAAAGAAATTATTAAAGTGCTCAGCAATTGCACTGGGATTAGATACTGGTATACCATTTTCAGATAAGAGTGAGCAAGGTGGATCATGAATGTGTGACTTATTATACAAAACTGAGTTGATATTTTGCCAAGTTTTTCTTGGGTCATTGAGATTTTCCGCAAATTTCCTATCGTAATAATCTTTTTTAGATTTTCTTACGAGTCGGTTGACCAAATTTCTATAATACTTAAATCTTGTTTTAATCTCGATACAATAGGGATGTCTTGCTTTTAAGTTTATGAATTTATTCCTTATCTCAATAAAGTTGCGCGTTTTACTGTCGATATATGGCTTAATACATGGTAGTTGAGCTTTACTTTCAGCTGTGTTATTTATTATAATCTTCTGAATTGCTAGATTAAAGTCTTCAAATGTGTTACAGTCTAAGTTTTCGAGTACTTTGGAATTAAGAATTTTTTGATTATTAACGAGTTTGTACTGAATTGTCTTAGCATTTTCATATTCATTGGATTGCCTTTGTATGCTTAAGATAATATTCTTGCGGTCGGCTATATTGTCAAACAGAAACATTTCTTTTGTGCCTTTCCCTGTTAATAAGCTTAGAAAGTATTTAAAAATACTTTCAGAGAATTTAATTAAAATTGAAAATTTAGTTTTTTATGAGTTGTTGCTTCCGCCATCTTCTAAAATTAAATCAAAAAGCAAAGCAGGAGCTTTCGTATGGTAAATTTAAATGCTATGGTAAAATAACATTTTAATTTGAAAATAGTCTTTAATTGTTTTTTGACCTTATTGTGAAATCTATCAAAATTCAAAATTTATTATTTGCCTCAAGATCTGCGTAAATGACTGCTTTAATTTCATTTTGTGAGTTGGTTGTTAATTTGTTAAAAAGATTCAAATATTCTGTACAAGTTGCAGTTGAGTCTCCATATATGCCTTATTTAAGATTTTTAAATTGCTTTACTAGTTTTGATTTTGTAATTTGATTTATATTTGTACCTGGAGCAAAAGTTGCAGCTACGATTAAAAATCCTGAAAGGACTTTCATTTTAATGACACAGATTTCAACTAAAAATCGCCAAAAATAATTCTAATTGGTACACAAATAATAAAAAATAAAAAAATTATTTTTGTTTCCAATTTGGCTTTCTAGAAAATTAAACTTTATTTTTCTGCTTAATATGTATAAATTAAGCTAATAAGCTGGGGATGTAAATCGTTAAAATTCTTTAAAATGAATATTTTTTACTGCGCTTTTTATTTTTTCAGTGAAATTAATCCTGTTATCTATGATATAAGTACCCAATTCCCTACCCAACTCTAGGGCGAAGCCATGTGAATCCATTTGTGAAACCGTGTAAATCAAAGGGGTCCATGTTGAAGAGGTTTTATGAAGTTTTGTGGGAAGATTGATCCTTAAAAAATTACGGTTATTAGCGTATTACAGTTATCTTTAAAATAATATTCAAATTTAAATCCTGAAGGGTGTCCCCGAATTGTCTAGTGTTCTATGTTAAACTAGGAATACTAAATTAGTATTATTCTCAAAAAATGAATTGAATAAAGGCTCCCGCAGATTATAATCTAATAAAAACGAATATTGTAATCTGCGGGAGCCTTGAATTAAACAACTGAACGAGCCACTTGTTGAGTCACTCAAAATATGATTTTTTAAATTTTCATCGTTTAAAATATTACAAAATTGAAGATTATAAAAATCATGTTATTAAAACCCATATGAGCTGACAATACATTGAATATATTTTTCACCTCCAGATTTATTTGCCATGCTTTGTAACGTACGAATAGCTTCCATGTCATGTTCAGCAGTAATAATTGTTGAATCATTGAACAATTTCAATTCAACATCGTTGACCAAATGTTTTCTTGAAGAATTTGTTGTTTCTGCTTTTATTAAATTTTCGTGGACCTTTGTTCTAAGTTCTTTTGTTAAAGAATAGTAAATTCCCATAAAGTCAAGACATTCAAGAGAAATTCCATTTTCACCAAAACAAGCTGATTCTAAATTAAAACATTAAAATTGACTTCATAGCATCTGATTGCAGTCTTTGAGCTCTTAAAAATCACTTACCTGTCACAATCAATGAAACAATTAAAATAAAAGCATAAACTTTGTTCATCGTTTTAGAATTTGTTATTTTTAAACTAAACTCATAGAATTAAAGTTTGGTAATGTTAACTTTTGTTGAAATTATGAAAAACTTTAAAATTGATAAATTTTTAAAATTACTAATATCAATAATTGTAAAAAATTATTTTACTTCCTGTTAATTTTTTATTAAAAAACATTCAAAACCAGCAACAATTGAGACATTTTTAAAGTACAATAATCCGTTCATACTTCCTCCTTGCACCTTTCACAACTTACCTTGATTTTGCACGCAAACATTAAAAAAACTAGACTAATAAAATTTCATAATGAGCAAGTCATTCAACTTGACTCTTTTAACAATTTTATAAAACAAAAACTTGTTTTATTCAAATGAAAAAAGTTCAAATGTTTAAACAAAATTTCAAAAAAGAGAAATAAAGTCTCAAGCTGAAAAATATTACGACATATAATTTATTGCTGGATTTAATTTTATAAATAAAAATAAATACAAAAATTTGCTTGGAAAAGTAGCGAATTGAGTCAATTTGTTGCTGATTATATATTTGGATAAATATTTGCTCTATGCTGCTTGATAGAATTATTTGCTAAAATTAAATTAAAGTTTTTTGAAGAATATTAGGAATTCTTAATAATTAAATGAAAAACAAAAATTATATAATTTTGTAAGCTTAAATAAACTTTTTTAATCATCATTTTATCTTCATGTCGTACGTAAAGGATTCTTTTTAAGGGTTTCATAATAATATATAAATATATTTATAATATATATATATTGCAATATGTACGTTCTTTTTGTTTTGTTTCTCTTGCTTTAGTAAAAAGTTTCTGTGTTACCATAAATCTCTCTATTTTAAAAGTTGTAAGCATTAATGTGTTGTCCTTAAATTTCTAGTCAGGTTTATTAAAAAGCCGAAAAGTAGTAAAATAATAAAGAATTTTTTTTTCATAATTTTACAAATTGTTAACGTTTTTAAATTTAGTTTTTATGATATTTGGTTGAGATTTAAATTGAATTCCAATTTTCCTCCAATGGTAGCTTTAGTTTTGTTTTACATTTAAGGTTCCTAAAGTGAACCTAACCTTCAGAATACACTTTATGATATCCTTAGAATACCCGAATAGCACAAGCCGATTAATCAAATTGAAATCTGGCATTAAGTTGGCATGAGTCTAGCATAGTGCTGGCTTCAGTTTAAATCCAGCACCATGCCAGAGTCACACCAGTTTGGTGCCATGTTTCTGATCGATTAAAAGACTTGTTCTATTCAGTAAAATTAAGAGACTTCATCTCATTCCAAATATCATCGAAAAATTCATGCAAATGTGGCCAAATAAAGAGATTACAACAAATAAACCAAAAATACTAAAATAATTTATACTAGAAAGGATTTAACTTCGTATCTTAAGCATCACTAGCAAGCTTTTCTCACTTAAATTGTCAAAAATTTTTTTTTGTTTTAGGAATGGAACTAAAAAAAATTCTAAAATGCTTTAATCTTATAAAAAATTTCCTTTGAAAATCTCGGCAGTGATGTAAATCTCAAAAAAAAAATATTATCATAATGAAAATTCGATAGGAAAATAAATTTTCCAGTTAAATTTTCAGTCATTGATCACCAAGTCTGTCTATAATTTCTGATGTGGAATCATCGGTCGCTCACCAACACCATTTGCCATCTCATAAACTAAAATTGACACTTCAGCAGCAAGCAATTGAACATCATCGGCATTTTCTGCTTCCGCATAGACACGAACTACATCTTCAGTCCCAGATGGTCGAACAAACGAGCGTCCTCGTTTATATTTCTTCACTATTTCATTAATTTTATCTTGAAGACCTTCAGGCTTCACACAAATCCTTTCAGCATCTGTCGTCTCAAAGATATTTCGATCTTGGACCTTTACTTTCTGCTGAAGATTCGGAAGATCATCATATGTCGCAAGCCAGTCACTCAAATCCCATCCCTTGGTATGTAGAATTGTCTCAACGAGCAGCATGTCGGATATTGCATCACCAACTGTCTCATTAATCAGATCGATTGTAAGAAGTAATTTATTTAATGCTTCCCGTCTCTCTTCTGATGTCGCAGTACTATTTAGTGCAACTGAGAGCTTTGCCTTTGTCTTTTCACTAAAAATCACTGTTCCGTGGCCATTCGCTTCAAAATACACACCTAAAAAAGAAAAAAATTGGTTTAAGAAGTTGAAATATTGAAGGAAATTGAGCGTGAATCAATTAAAACTTCACGGATAGAAAATAATCTTGATTTATTGATTTCTTGTATTGCACATCATCCACTTAATTTCCAGAAATCCAAACATTTTCAAATTGAACCAAAATTCAAAAACAAAAAAATTGTCCAAAATCTTGATCAACGAAAACATTTGCTCGGCAAGTAAAACTCCATCTTTTTCCACATTTCACAAGTTTAATGACGCTGAGTCAGTGTAATTGGAATGCTGAGAGGTTCATTGCACATATTGGATGACAACAAAAAAGGGAATGAGGAAAGAAAATGTTCCCGTGACTAAAAATAGCGCGAAAACAACAGACAAAATATTTATTTTTCTTATTCCCTCAAAATTGTATTATTTTTAATATATTTACATGTGCGTGTATTTACCGTGCCCGTGCGAGAAATCTAATGTGACAGATTGAAAGGTAAGCATACATAAAGAAAAAAAGGGCAGCAAAAGATGAACGAAATGTTGACACGTTGTGAAGTTTAATGAGGAATTTCCTTTAGATGGAACATTGTGATTATGACGAAAATTGAAAATTGAGGTCAACCGGGGCGATTTTGAGGTGAAATTGAGAACATTTTCAATATTTTGGTTACATTGAGTTCATTGCGTGATTTAATTGTGTTTATTTATATACGTGAATAGTGAGTAAAGTGAACACTATGATTTTCAACACGTCATAGATGGGGGATATGATTTCAGAAAAATGTGGATTTTAGATAGCTTGTGATTTTATTTTTGGCAATAAACATTGTCAGTCAAAGAATAGGTACCCAAAATTAAACTTTGAAATTCAAACTTTAACATTAAAAGTTTACTAGCAGTAAAAAAGCAGCAGTGGCGTAGTGGTTAGAGTTGGGTTTGATCCCAGATAATGTCTAGTCGGATTTTGGGTGATTTTTTTGGCAACTCGGTCTGTATGATTTGAGACGTGCAAACTGTAGCTAGGTACTTTTATTGATATACCATAAGTCAATGCAATTGTGCTGAGTTGCAAATACGCAATCGTCCGTTGAGGACAAAATCTGTCTATAAAAAGACAAAAACCAATTGTCCGTTGAGGACAAAAATAATAATCAAATAATTTTGGATGTCGCATCGATCATCATCAATGAATTATTCCAAATCTATAATTAAGTTGTAATTGCCGCTGGCGCTAGTTCTCGTAACATTGTAAATTAATGAAATGCAGAAATAAAATATAACGTTTTTTTTCAAAAAAAAATTGTCCTCAACAATCGTGACTCTAAAGTAGCCTTATTCAATTTTTTTTAACTTGCAAAATCTTATTCACCATCAACAGTTTATTCAACCCCAACCAGAAAAAAGCAACTATTCCACAAAGTAATCAATACAGATCTTATCCACTTACAGCGATTAAACTTTTCCAATTAAAATTTCAATCTGATATCAAATAACATTGAAAAAGGCAAGAATTATTAAGTAAGAAGAATCAAACCCAAACATTCAGTTCTAAATGACTCATTCATACGAAACATTTTTCATCTTCTCATATTTCACATTTTTTTCTTTCTTCTTTTATGCGGCGTCTCGCGTAGTTTCTATAATTTTCACACATCACATTTCATTTTGGATCATTGAAAAAATTTTCCCTTTCAATTTCTTCGCTCGCATAAATTAGAGAAAATTAAACATAAAGTGGAGTAAAGAGGAGCAACATTGGCATTTGAGATTTTTTTTTTTATTTTGAGTGCAACATGTAGAAATATTTTGAATAAAGCTAGTTATGGTTGATAAATTGTGAGAAGATATTAAACGGATTGAGCTTCTGGTCGGGAATAAATCACTTTTGGCCTGTTTTCTAGGAGCGTGGAGTAACAATGTTCCCATGGTTTTCCAAATCAAAAACCATCAGAAAACAAGCTTTAAAATATCTTCAAATTTTCTACTCCAATTAACCTCAACTTTCAGACAAGAAAACCCACAAACCCAAATTAAGTTTACTCACCAATATCATACTCCAATGCTTTATGATGAAGATGCTTTACTCCAGTTTGCGCACACGCAACATCAATTTTCAATTGATCGACTATATAGTCGGTCGATGCTCCATTGGCATAAGCAGTCTGAACAATTCCAAGTTTCAAAGAAATTCCACATTTTTGTACCAAATCCATAAGATAATCAGCAATAAGTGTTGCAATTCGATCGCCATCAAGTAAATGAAAAGTTCCATTTGAATCAATAAAGAAGTAAACGACACGATCAGCATCACCATCGACACTAACACAACGTGTATTTGGCTCATGTTCAGGAAGTCCAGTTGGTGGTCGCTGACTTGTTTTTACATAATCAGCACCGCAATTATGATTAATTTTGCCGTTTGCATTAAAAACTTGACATTGAAGTGTACCGGCCAGTTGTCGATTAAATTCAAACATTTTTAAGCTACCGACTCCATTGGCACCATCAAAAAGAAGGAAATTCTTGTAATTTCCATTTTCAAGTTTCTCTCCTCGTAACTTTTTAAAGGCAGTGACAAGTTTAGCAACATACCCGGCTTCTGTTGGGGTTCCATAAGCACCTTTAACATTATGCGAGAATACAAGATAATGAAGCATTGGCGTTGTCAGAATTCCATAATCCCTCAAGTTTCCTTTTAATGCTCGCACTCCATTAACAACAGCTCGACCCATCGCTGGCGAATGATAGCGTGTATCCATTCCAATAAAAACATTTGATTGTGCATTCATGTCGACTTTTTGTTGGGCAATAATTTTTGCAACTTCTGACTCAAGTTTATCGTCCGAAACATTGACGAGATCTGTGGCAATTCCTTCCCATGACATCTCAAGCATTTCACCTTTTGGATCGATAATTTTGACACCATTATCACATTCAGGATTGTGTGAGGCTGTTATCATAACACCAATTGCCTGACCAGAGAATGTGCGTGATCGGAGGGTCGCCAGGATACCCATACGAAATGCTATAAATTCGAGTTTATCGTGTCTGTGAGTGAAAATTTCAATTATTATTATGAATTATTTATTTTTCTTGAGTAATAAAGACATAAAAAATTATGAGTGAAATGTCGGCTAATTGTTGACTGGCAGAGATTTTTTGAAAGGTCAATGATGGGTTTTTTATGTGAATCGTTAAATACATTTAGTGTTGGATTACACATGCTTTAATTTCGTTTCTTTTTATTATTTTGATACTTGGCAAATAAAAGGCAATCAGTGTGGCTGATATGTAAGATTGGGTAAACATGTAAAGTATTGAAGTGGTTGGATTGTTTTTAATCTCAAAGCAAAAGTGCCTTGATAGCTAAGTTGGAAAGATACAGGTCACAAAAGATTTGAATTTAGACTCTCGGGTTCAAATGTCACCACCAGCCTAGTGATTTTTTAGAAGTTTAGAGACTGCGGCTTCTTAGGTGCAGCAGTAAGACTTTAAGACATTGTGAACTACTGAATTGGAACGAGAGCCAGCATTAATACTGGTTCTAAGATTTAAGTAGTTTCAATTGGCTGCTAGACAAACAAAGCTCATTGAAGATTATGTGCTACATACCAAGCTAGAGTGCACAATATAGATTTAAGAATTATTATTGTTAAGAATAAATTTGAAGCACTTAAAATCTCTAGTAACACACCTAGTAAGTTCCTTACAACCCTCAAGCTAGTAATTAACAATATAATTGTCATAGCTTCTGTTCAAAATCTGCTGCTTCTTATCTTACTCCAACAAAATTATGCATATCTAATCAAAATATTTTTTTATTGCAATTATTTTTTTGTTGTGTTTATCTAAGAATTTCGCAATATGTAGTAATTAATTTTCACATTCACTTTGTGTTCTGATTAACACGCGAAATAATTTTTTAATGGAACTTTCGAATCTTTTTTTCCTGTAAGTGGTTTTAATCATTATTCAAAGTTAATTGTAAATTTTTAGCGACATTTTAAATAGTTTTGATTAAAAAGTCTATTTATAGCTAAATTGATATAAAGATTCAAATAAGCGATAGCCAACCATTGTATTGTCCTTAAATGAGTTACGAAATTCACAGTAAACTTCCACATAGCATGTCACTTAACACGAGTTTAAAAAATATAAAAAAAGCTAATTTAGAAACCAAATCAGCATCATAAAGGGTCGTTCACTTATGACGTCCAAGGAAGGTGGTCTAGAATTTTGTGACACATTGTGGCAGGGAAGAGGGGGGTCAGGAAATTGATGAAATCCAATTAACGTTTAACTACAATTTTCTTATCACAAACAAAAAAATTCGCAAAATATTGTTTGCAATTAAATATTTACCAAACTTTTTTGTTTACTCCTTTTTCCAGTTTTAATTGTACTTAGTTTTTCAAAGAAAACGAAAAATGGCACATTTACACAAAGAAATTTGTTGGTTTGGTGAGTTTATAGTCTGTCTGAGAGGTGTGGAGCTTAGCATATGAATTTCTGTTGCTCAACATTTCAGGTTTTTAAAACTTAATTTTTTATTAAAATGCAAATTTTGTAGGAAAAATGTCTCGACTGAATTTTTGGAACCGAAACTATTTTTAAATGAATTTTGGGTGTTTCAATTTTCAATGAAAAAAAGTATGCAATATGCAATGAGCAAGGGACATTGGGATTTAAATCATAATTGACGATATAAATAGAATTATTATAAATAGGTCAAAAATTAAATTAAACCAATTTCAAATGCATCTGAAAAGCATGACTAACACCATAATTAATTGAGATTTAAAATTGAATTATAATTTATCAATAGAGGTGCCTACACACACCTCCTACATTTGCCCAAATCTATAAGGAATTTCTCACAATTTTTTTCTCATTTTGTACAAATTATTGAATCACATTTTTCAAAAATTGATTTTTTCATCTTTCTTCTTATTTCACCAATAATCGATAACAGGATAAGTTATTCATAAATCTCTTTCCATCCAGCTGATTAACTTCCTGCATCACATACTTTTTCATTTTTAATTCACTTTCAATTTAAAAATTAAATTGGATAAGAAAAAAAAATTGTCATCGCATAGAAAACTTTGATTCACTTTCTGTATCTTATCAGCCAACATTTATATGTATTTATGGTAATTATTTACTCACAACGTACGAAATCCAGCAGTTCCTACAAGAAGAAAACAAGAGAGAATAAAAAAATTAGATAAATCAAGTCACGAAAAAATTTGCCAGCAATGCAGAAATGGAAAGATTTTTTTGGATAAATTATTGTACTCACCGTAGAGCATTTTGCCAATGTTTGGTCCTTTCGAGTGAAATTCACGAGCAAATGCATAGACTGTTCGCAAATCAACAGACGACGACATGATGACCTCAATATGTGAATTATAATTAACAACAAACAAAAAAATTATTCAACTTAACTGATGAAATGATGGAAAGTGACTGAGAAATTTTTTTATTATTTTTGTGGGAGAGAAAATTGTCCTTTCGGAGATGTAAAGGCGCCCTTGTAGAAACTGAAGAAAGTTTTTTGATGGAGGGAAAAAGGTTTCTGGACTACAATCAGATGTTTTTTTTGTTGATGTTTTTGTTTTGATTTGATTGAGTTTGAAACTTTTATTGCCAGTATTGAGATTTTAGAGATATTTTTGGTAATTTGCTGAAATTTATAAATGTTTTGAGCTGCTTTTGAATGAATTTGCATATAATAATAAAGAATGTTCTCAATTTTGCAACAAAAACGTTGAATAATCTTGAAAGAATTTGATTTTAAAAAAAAATCTCCAATCCTTCTTATTTGTTGACACAAAACCTTCATAGATCGGGTTAAATAATTTTCAATTTTATAAGTTTAAGCTACAAATTGTGAGTTTTTCTAGCATTAGATATTAAACTAGTCTCCCGAACAACTTGATGAACATATTAAACATTGAGTATTGTAATCCTTAGCCTTAAGGTTCCATGTATTTTGAGATATTCAAACCTGGATCTTTAGATTTCTTTGTAAACATTCAAAAAAGTTCAATTCATTAAAAATTAAGAGTTTGATTGAGAAAACTATCAATTTAACATTTTCTGATTCTAAATTGCATTCGCTTTTAGGAAACTTGGCTTCAAGATGCCTCCAAAAAAATGTAGTCGTCTAGAAATCAAACTAGAAGAACCAGCCGAATGTGAAATCATCTTAGAAAAAGTCAATATGACAAATTTATCACAAATTGTTAAAAACGAAAAAGAGGAAGAAGTTTTAATCAAAGAAAGTTTTAATGCTCAACAACTTATTTCCAATATTGATATTTACATTAAGCAAGAAGAACCAGTGGAATTTGATGACACAGAATTAAAGAACGAAGATGATGAAAATTGTGAATATGAAAATGCTGAAAGTCTGAGTAATGACGAAAAGGAAGAAAAGTTTGATTTAATCAAACCAATTGAAGCTTTAGGATCAAAAGATTTAGTCTGTAAGACATGTAATGCAACATTTAAAACAAGAACGGAACTAAAAACTCACCAAAAACTTCACGCAAATCCTTTAAAATGCAAAAAGTGCGCAAAAGTATTTAAAATTAAGAAGAACTTTGACACACATAAATGCACTTATGAATGCAAAATTTGCCAAAAACCTTTTTTTCGAAATGACAATTTAACGCAGCACATGAATTATGTTCATGGAAATTGGAAGAAAAGTGAGCTTTTTACTTGCGATTGTTGTGCAAAAGGATTTAAATACAAAAAATCACTTGTATGTCATATGAAGCAGCATATGGAAGTAAAACCATTGATCTGCAACATTTGCAAGCAAGGATTTAGTGTTAAAAATACATATAAACAGCACCTGCTTACTCATTCAGGAAAGGTACCATGTAAAGTTTGCGGTAAAATGCTCAAACCTAGTGCAATTTATTATCACATGCGACAGGCACACGAAACATCAAGGAAATTCGTTTGTACAATTTGTGAAGCTTCATTTAAAACAAGAGGAGATTTAAACAGCCATTATGGCACTCATGACAAGAAGCATCAATGTAGCGTTTGTTTTAAAAAATTTAGTCGAGGTTATAAGCTTAAACTTCACTTCCAAATACATGAAAATCCGAGAATGTTTGAATGCAAAAAATGCAATAAAATTTTAGCAAGGAAGGATACTTTAGAGAGTCATGAAAAATGGTGCGGCGAAACATTCTGTTGCGGCCATTGCGACTTTACAACAAAGTTTCCAAAGAGACTTTTAGGTCATGAAGCGAAGTGCATCGAAAATGAAAAGACAAAGAGATTTAAAACTTTTAGGGATTTTAAAGACAGTTCAAGTGATGATCAAGATGATGAGAAAGAAGTCAGTAAAGAATGTGCTGAAAATGATTTGTTTTGTAAACATTGTAATAAGATATTTGATACTAAGAAGGAGTTATCGGAGCATATAATGAAAATCATTTTATAAATCAGTAATTAATAAATTGTTCTGATATTTTAGAAAATAATATATTTTTTTAAATGCTGTTATTTGAATACAGGTTAAGCGATGAAATGGAATCAGTAACCTAAATGGTAGAGCGTTGGCCTCACGTGCCAAAGATTCTTTGTCCATTTCCAGGCAAAAGTCAAGTTTTAGAAGCTCCTTTTCTATTTCACTGTTCTAGTTACGAAGCTCAGTTGGTGTGTTTGGTGTTATTTTTAGGTCTTCGGCACAGAATATGCCTCCTTTGCTAGGTATACAAGGATATACTGGCATCTCGATGATTTCACTACAGCATCTTGCTCACACGAATTATGACTAGGTACATTGCAGGGTATATCAGGCGTACTCGTGTTATTGCAATGTGCAGAGCTTGCGAATTTTTCGGATTCGACTATAAACTGTAGAACTAAAGGGTGTGGTACAATAGATTCTGTTCTAATTTTAATTTCAGTGCCTCCAGCACAAATAGTCTTGGCCCTCTCAATGCTCTACCTTTTTAAATACAAATGCTAAATCGTCACTAGAATTATCTTTCTGGGTATGCAGGTATATTGGTTTTATATGTCTTTTAGTTTTCTGTATGAAATGGAACAAATAGGGTTTTCAATCCCGGGATCCCGGATCCCGGGATCCCGTGATCCCGCGTTTTTTTTGGTCCCGTAATCCCGGTATTGAAAACAGCTTCAATCCCGGTATTACGGGATTGAGTAAGTAGTTAAAATTTTAAAAAAAAATTCTTAAATTTTGTAAAAAAATTCGTTCGCAAGAAATACAAATAATTCTCATATTCATGACCAAGATCAAAGTCAACCAACAAGTATTATACATCATTAGAAAGGTTCTGACTTAAGCTATAATAAAGTGGAAACGAAATTAAAAAATAGTTTGTTTTGTAAGAGTAATAGTGGTTTGAGTGATGAGAAAAGCATACAAGTCGTCAGATATCAAATGTACCCAATATCTCATCAAATTTTGAACTTTTTGAAAAAAATTCTTCACCATTTGTTTTGTAACAGTATTTTTGATTAGAAAACATGAAAAAACTTATTTGTATTCATTGATTTATATTTTTTATAGGCAATTTTAGTTTTTGGTTAAATATTCATCGACTCACTAAAATCGCTATAACTTTTTAATGCAGAACTATATTGGACAAAGTTCATACAGTTCTGAAAACTACAAGTCAAGGACTACATGTTGGTGTGATTCTTCCCCCTACTATTCTGCGATCTAAGATACTTGCGGCACATGTGAAGATATTTTTCCACTGTTTTTCTTACATATCCTACCATAGCGGTACCAAAACTACAAAGTTAAAATCTTTGTGGAATATCAAAATGAAGCTTTCATATATTACTATTAGGAACTGAAAACCGTTTTTCAATATCTTTATTAATCATAAGGAACTTTAGATTTAAAGAGGGCATAAAAAAATCAGAATTTTCACTCATTTTCAACTTTAAACAGTCACAAAATCGCAGGAACAGCACCAAATGACTTGAAATTTGGCATAGAAGTCTATTTTTATGTCCTAAACAAGAAAAAATATACCTGAGTTTGTAATTCGAAAAAGTCCCAAAATCAAAGTGAAACTCCCTTTTTTTTCAATTTTGCCCCATAGTGTACTTTCCAAAATGAAAACCTTATTTTAAGATTATTAGTACTTAATTTTCTTTTTTTTGCTTAATCATTAACAATAAACATACATAAAACAAATATAAAATAAGAATTTTTCTCTCAAACGAAGATTTTATGTTTTATTTATTGAAAATTTTAAGGCTTCTTTAATAATCTCTTAATCCCGGGATTCCCCGGGATCCCGGGATCGAGAATTTTCAATCCCGTAATCCCGGTATTGAAAATTTGGACCGGGATTGAAAACCCTAGGAACAAACTTGTAATTTTTTTTTTGGAGAATGGAATAAAAAGAAGACTGTTTTTTAATGACCCAACTAGATGATCAGCTTACCAAATCCCCCCCCCCCCTCCCCTGGTTACACGCCTGCAGCTTACCTAAGACTGATAAAAAGAGTATAGGGAATTGTGCGAGCAGAAACAAGGGTAGGGTGTAGTAATTTATATCTTGTACTTCTCATGTCCTTCTTAGGGCGTAGCTAAAGGTATGAACGAGAAAAATAGTATCTAAGGTTTTTTAGAAAGTTTCGTTTTTAGTCAAGAATCTAGAACCTTTGGGTTTAGTCTGTACCGAGACAAACAAGTGATCGAGTGTTGACCTAAAATTATTGTGTTTCCTTTCTTGCATAGCTTACATATTGTCACAACCTGTATATAACTATGTTAATTTTTTTTTTAATTTCTCCTTCTCATTTTACTCAATTCTTTAAGTCTCATTTAATTTTAAAAACTTCTCATCTTTTAGATTTATTCTTTTATTCATCTCAGAGCGACGCAATGAGATATTCTTGATCATTGTAGTTTTGCACGTCAGGCTGTAAAGTTCAATTTTATTGAATTCATTAATTTTTATTAATTTTTGTGAATTTATTCGAATTTTTCAAAATTATTGACTATAAAGGATCATTGAAGTTTGATGTAGTTCTTGAAATAAACTTAATTGAATTAAAATTGATTTAAAACATTAAAGTAAATCTAATAAGCAAGATTAAAACTGCAAGTGATACATTTTAAAGGACAAATAATAATCACAGTGATTTACAATTTGTGGGATTTTCATGAATTTTATCAGTGAAATTTAGCATCGCGTGACTTTTGAGGTCAATTTTATGATTTGTTTATAAACAATTCTCGATAATGAAGCCGAAGAGCTTATTATTGCTAATATTTTTTGTCATTATTACCAAAGTTCATGCCGAGTTGATTGATTGTAATTTTGAGGTTGATGACGTGCAATTTTATGACGGATTTGAGGGTGAGCACAAGGATGTATTAAGTTATGGCTGCAAAATTCAAAATATTGGAGTAAATGATGAAGGAAATGACATTAAAGTTAATGGAGATCATATGGAAAATCAGACAGACGAGGACGTTACTTACTTTATAAATGAAATTGAAATTGTGGATTATTTAGCCAGTTTTACTTCAGATTTGTGTTCAAAATATCCAAATTTAATGATGATTCACTTAAGATTTTTTGATATTGAAAAATTAGAAGAAAATTCTTTGGAAAATTGTCAAAATTTGAAAATTTTAAATTTTTACGGCAACAACATTACTGAAATTCCAGAAAATGTATTCTTTCAAAATCATGAACTTACTGAAATTAACATAATCCACAATGAACTTACAACATTACCGCAAAATTTATTTGAGAATCAAGCAGAGCTTCAATGGCTGAATCTTCGCGTAAACCAAATCAACTCTTTGCCTTCGAAAATCTTCAAACCACTTCAAAAACTTCATATTTTAAATCTTGGTGCAAACAAGCTTCAAAACATCAATTCCGCATGGTTTGAAAGTCTCGAGGATTTAAAGGAATTGTTCCTCGATGAAAATCAAATTTCTCAAATTCATCCAGACGTTTTCAGACCCTTGCAAAATCTTGAAGGCTTGGATCTCAGCTTTAATGATTTCATAAGTCAAAAATATGATCAATATAAGCACGTTAAAAGCTTGAAAAGCTTAAGTTTGGGTGCAAATGAGCTTCGTGATTTACCAAAAAAGATATTTTTACCATTAAAGAATTTAGAAAAATTATGGCTTTATGGCAATCAACTAAGTGTTGTTCATTCAGAATGGTTTGGTGTTCATAAGAATTTGGTAAAACTAGATTTATTCTACAATAAGGTCACTGCTGTTGATGAGAGATTAATCGAAAATTCTCCAATTGCTGAGGTCGATATGGAAGGAAATGTTTGCAATAATCAGACTTTTGAGGACAGAATTGAAATGAGAGCCAATTTGAGCTTATGCTTTAGTAATTACAAAGGGCAATGTGAGTTGATTTTTCAATTCTGATGACAATTATTTAAGAATAGCTTTTTAGATCCTTCATCGGGAACAACAAGAAGACCATATCAACCGGTAAGGACTTATGCTACTCGCGGAACTACACAAAGGACAATATCTTCAATAAAAACGACACGAAAACTCAGAATAACAACAGCAACAACACAAAAATCAACAACTGCATCCTCAACATTAGAAGAACCAATAATTGTAGGTTTTGTAAAATAAGATAAGTCCAGAATGAAAGTTGTTAAATGATTTTTTCAGATAAATTGTGGAAAAACAATCACTGGAGTTCAAACTGTCGTTGGTGGAACACAAACTCCTCGCGGTGCTTATCCATGGTATGTCTTAAATTGATGTTTTATTTGCTTGCTTTGAATTAAAATCATGCATTCTTCACTCACAGGAATGTAGCTCTCTTACACAATAAGAATACAACTCAACTTAAATATAAATATTTCTGTGGGGGAACTTTAATATCGAATAAAACGGTCGTTACAGGTAAGAAGGCAAAATAAACTGTATTAGTGATTTAAGGACCATCGGTATCTGGCCCTAACGACAAAAAAGTTCAGTCTGAAATGGTTTTAAACTCACAATGACTACTAAGTCACAGGCGCGTAGCCGGGGGGGGGGGGGGGGGCGGGATTTGGGTGACAAACAACGTAAACAGAAATATTTTTATTTTGCTAGGGTCTTCATGGAAAAATCACAAAAACCCCCTCCCCTAAATTTTTTGGTCCCCCGCCCCCATCTTCAAATTCCTGGCTACGCTCCTACCGTGTCATAATAGCCACTCATGTGGATAATATTGAACTATTGATGGTCATTAGAAATGCAAATTACTTGGATTATTAAATTTGTTTTAATTTTTTTAAGCTGCCCATTGCCTCAAAGGTAAATTCGGAAGTCATGAATTTGAGGCATCTGACATTATTGTCGCCCTTGGGGTTCATGATTTGAAGAAGTCATTTGAGTCAGGACGCACTAATATTGCTGTGAAGTATGTCTATGCTCATCCTGATTGGAACTCAAATATTGCATCATTTGAAGCTGACATTGCTGTTTTGGAATTAGAGCATGAAATTCAATTTACTAATTTTATTCAGCCAATTTGCTTAGCACATTCAGGTCTGAATTCCGTTGCAACTGGATTTGTTGCTGGGTTTGGTAAAAGTGAGGCTGGTCATGTTGAAAATATTGCAAGAACTGTCACGGTTCCAATCCATGATAGTAAAGTTTGTGCTGAAAGTAAGGATCACGAGTCAATTTTAGGTGCACGATCAATTTGTGGAGGCTCAGCTGATGGAATTGGTGTTTGTGAAGGTGACAGTGGCAGTGGATTGATAATTCAAAAAGATGGAATTCATTTTATTCGTGGAATTGTTTCAGCATCATTGTATGCACCACTTTATGGTTGCAATGTTCAAGCTTATTCTGTGTTTACAGACATCACAAAGTTCCGTAGCTGGGTGATGACACAAGAAGATCCACATACTCAACTGTTGAGAATTCAAGCAGAAAGGGATGCTTACAAAAATAAATTGAAAGAATTAGAAGAAGCAAAAAAAATCAGAGCTAGAAGATCATTATAAAAGAAACAGATTGTGTTTCTTAATGTTTGTCAAATCGGATCTGAAAAATAAAAAAAAAACTTATTAGACTTTTTTGATAAAAGTAAAGCTAAGTTTCAAGCAAAAGTGAACTTTGGGGAAGTGATTGAGTTTCAGACACGAATTGATGATGAATTTCAAGTATTCGAAACCTTTTTCAGGAAGATTTTTGATGAGTATGTTGTTGACTTCATCTAGTCTCGGAGCTTTTGGATTTTTCAGTTATCTTATGATGATCAAGATCTCGTTTACATCTGCTAGTTCTGGATTCTCATCATTGTCTTGTTCCAATGCTTGTTTGACTGTGTTGTTTACTTCCTGTGTATGTTGTGAGTCGTTTTACTAGTAAAGATTTTGATGAGCTTCCCTGTTAGCTTTACAAAAATTATTATTATTTTTTGAATATATTGCCATTACAGTCTTTTGAAAACTTCAAAATATGGTCCGCATACAGTTTATTGTGTGCTGAAGTGGTTCAAAGGTGGCTTGGTTTTTTACTTCGGTACTTAATGATTGCAATATTGGTACAGCGATTGTGGGTTCGAGACTCGGCAAGTCTCAGCAATTCTAAAATTAATCCGCGTTTATCTTATTATTATATTTTTATTTACAGATGCACGATATGTTTCTACTCGTTGCAAAAGTTTGAACTCAAGGAATGATGCACGTTTAAAATTTCGAAGCTTTTCTATTTTAAAGACCACCTTGAGTTTCTTCATAGTACTTTTGTATCACGAGACAAAGTTTTGAGACTTAAAGATTTAAATAATTCCTAGTAAAATTTTAAGCTATAAAAACAATCTTTTCCAGATTCTAAAGTCAGTCTTAATCTAGTAAATTGGAGAAAAAAAAGTTTAGAGTTATTTAAGTGAAAAATAAAAATTTGTTAAACCAATAAAATGAATTTATGGATGTCCTTAGTAATTATTTTTGCTATTTGTGCACGTTGTAAGTAGTTTGAAGGTTTTTTTATTACTTTTAGATCACACTTTAAGTTGCTTTGAGTAGCTGGCACTAGACATAAGCATTAATTAAATTATAATTCTGTAAGGTATCTTCGGAGGATCTCCGTGCTCAGCTGTTCACAATTTCATGAGTCCACTTTCATCAGGAACTCATTTTCAACTGAGTTCAACAGCACAATTCAATTCAATCGCTGATATGCAAGAACAAATTCGAATTATTTTAATGGACAGCAATATTTCAGCAATGGATCAAGCTATTCTTTTCAGTCTTGTTAACGCTACTGATGAAGGAGTTTTATGTATTATTAGCTATTATCAATCAAATGCTAATTGAAATTTTAAAATTTTTTGAAATAAATTGAATTTCATCAATATAATGTTGTCAACATATTTAAATTAATTTAATTATCGTACATAAATCAGTTGAATTATTTAAACTTTTAAAAATAGCACGAACTTGGAAATGGCACAACTATGAACGATGACCTTTCTGAAGTTTAAGACAGGACTTTTTAAACTATTTTACAAGAAGCTTTAACGTCTTGAAATACATTTTAGTATTTGAGTCCTGAAAGAGCTCATAGATTTTGTAATCATTGCATAATTAATATTTGTGGGTAGGTAAGTCAATATTTATGTTTAAATGCATTTTATTTGAAATATTTAAACTTTTGTAGGATATAAAAGTGCTTCGTTATTTTATCTCTATCGTCAGTTTATTTTTCAACTAAAGCAAAGCTGTCAGAAATAAACAAAAAAATTGAGGAAAGCTAGAACATTAAAATGGACACCGACAGCCTTCCAGATATCGTCGTAAGCTTCACCGACAACTATGAAAAAATTTTGAATCCTCATCAGCGTCAAATTCTTGAAGACACAAAGAGAGTTCGTGATCAGCTTGATCAGCTGGAAAGACAACGTGGATTTGGAACTCCAAATTTATATGTTAGAAAAGCTGAAGAAACATTCGATCCTGATGAAATGGACGAGCGTGACAGTTTTTACAAAACTACTAAAAGTCTCCTCGTTTTATTTCAATTGATGGGTGTCATGCCAATCATGAGGAGCATTAAAGGCAGCGGTCAAGAACGAACGACATTTTCATGGACATCAAAAGCTTTCATTTGGGCTTATTTGGTCTATTTTTTTGAGACCATAATCGTTTGCTTAGTGGCAAGAGCAAGATTTATAATGTTCATATCCAGTTCTGATAAAAAATTTGACGAAGTCATCTACAACATTATTTTTTTGAGTATTTTATTGCCGCATTTTTTACTTCCGTTTGCATCATGGCGAAATGGATTGGAAGTGGCAAAGTTTAAAAACATGTGGACAAATTTTCAGGTTCGATACTTAAAAGTCACTGGAGAAGCTATTGAATTTCCAAAATTAGAACCAATAACTTGGACATTATGCGTTTTTTCTTGGGGATGTTCGATGTTCATTGTCTTGTCTCAATTTTATCTTCAACCAGAATTTCCATTTTTCCACACTTTTGCTTATTATCACATCCTTGCTATGCTTAATGGATTTTGTAGCTTATGGTTCATAAATTGTACAGCTTTTGGTTTAGCATCGCGAGCCCTTCAAGGTCATGTCAGTAAAATTATCAGAAGTGAAAAACCGTCGAAAAAAATGGCAGAATATCGAAACTTGTGGGTTGATTTAAGTCACATGATGCAGCAATTAGGAAAAGCTTACTCAAATATGTACGGAATTTATTGTTTGGTCATTTTCTTCACAACAATTATCGCAAGCTATGGCTCGTTAAGTGAAATTATTGATCATGGTGTGACCTTCAAGGAGCTTGGATTATTCATTATTGTCGTTTATTTTATGACATTGCTGTTCATAATTTGTAATGAAGCACATCATGCATCACGACGAGTTGGACTTGGATTCCAGGAAGTTTTATTAAATGTCAATTTAACGACAGTCGATATATCTACGCAGAGAGAGATTGAGATGTTTTTGGTTGCAATTGACAAAAATCCACCGACTATGAATTTAGGTTTTTCCTGTTTTATAGATTATGAACGAATTATTTAATTAAAAATTGATTTATTTTAGATGGGTATGCAAATATAAATCGTGAATTAATCACTTCAAATTTAAGCTTCATGGCAACTTATTTAGTTGTTCTGATGCAGTTTAAGTTGACACTTTTAAGGCAAAGCTCGAGGAAATTACCTGTTGATTATTTGCCAGAAGAAAATATGTAGATTTACATGTTTTTAAAAGAAAAGTGACATCTATAAAAGGCTATTCTTTAACAAGGATTTAATTAATTTTTATTGACACATTTTCGCCACTTTTTATTTGGTTTTGCAATATTTTAACTGAAGATTGTACTCAATACCTAACAGACAAGTGAGTATACTTATGGTACCGTGACATCCTCAAGAGTATGTTAAAAATATACCAGAGCTCAAAGTCGATAGGGTTCGAGTCGTCTAAATTTTTCTCGAGTTGACCTGTGCCGGAATAAGTACTTTAAAGGATAGATTAAAAGTCTATCCAAACAACCTCGTCTGGAGGGTTTCAGCCCCACATTCAGACTATCATCAATCAACATGCACAAAGTAAGCAACATAAGGTAAAAAGGACTGGGGTCTATGGTGGGTCAGGGGGGTTGTTTAGTTTGTGAAGCCATGTGAAGCCATGAGTAGTTTTGTAAAACCATGTAAAGTTCATGGCTATGCAGCCATGTTTTCAAAAAGTTTAAGAACAAAACTTTTGTTATTTTATCACATTTTATGATTTTACACTTAAAATTTGACTTAATAAAGTATTTTTTCAATCCATTTTAAGTTTTGCATTAAAAAAATGATTTTTTTTGATTCATCCTTATCGCCATCTATTGCACAATATCTTAAACACTTGATTATCAGAATTTCCCCTCATTTCGTATGTTTGTTCAACCGCCGACTGTATGAATCAACCGTACGTCGACAGTGAGAAGAAGAATACACAAAAACGAACGAATATAGAAAAAAATATGAAAACATCTGTCGACACTCATTCAGTTAAACGAGAAGTACAGAAGTAAAAAAACGTAGAAAGAAGAGAAAAACCTGTGGCCGACAGAACAACATACAAAACAGATATCGAAGGAGTGCATTACACAGAAATTATCGACTTAAATATTTGAAAAAAAAAGTTTTTTGCTTTCATTAATTTATTCAATTCATTAAAAATACATTTCCAATGAACCTTAGTGGCAATTCGAATAATATAAGGTCATCGATTTTCAGTTAATTAAACACAAAAGCATCATAAAGTGAATAATATTTTTTTTTTGTAAATCGAAGTAGAAAAAAATTTTGCGTGAATTTTTGTGTCAAGAAAAAAATATTAAAAAAATTAATAAATAATCAAGAATTGTAAAATGAAATTGATATATTTAAAATTATTGAAATTAAATGCATATCCATTGGAACTTCCTCAATAAAAGGCCACGGCAGTGGCAGAAGTGAACATTAAAGATTATAAAAAAAATATATGTATGAAAAGAGTGCAAGAGAAAAAAAACACAACAACACAGTTGAAGACCCAAAGTAATGAAATAAAGTAAGGAAATTTTCAAGTTTTTTGGTGTAGTGAGCGCATTTTTTTATGAATGGAATTTATAAGAAATGTTATTGATTTTTGGTCAATTGTTATCATTTTGGTGAGCATAGGCTGGTCTTTGGACAGATATTAAAGTGAAAAAGTCTTATTTTAAGATGAAAAGTGTTCAGGCTCATTCATTAGTCCACTTTATTCAAAGTCTTTTATAAAAATGTTTTGAATTTCTCGATAAAATATATATTTTAAAAAGAATCTATAGCAACCCAAAAATAGACCCTAGAAATACCCAAACTGTACAAAAAATTTCTCACTTCATTCCAATCCCTCAAAATATGCTAAAAAAAGTGTTTCACTGCCTAACAGAAGAGAAGAGAAAAAAAATCGTTTATTTTTTCATGAAAGAAGAACGCAAATGTGCGATTGTATTGGTGTATGACGTGTGCAGAGTCCACACACACAGGCACACATCAATGGAATCAGAAACGAAACAGACAGAAAAAAAAACTTGTGTAAACAGAGAATCGAGTAAAAGCGAAAAGGAAATAACAAAAACATTTTTTTTCTTCTCAGTTTTGAGACAGTTTCGGACGTGCAACACGTATTGCCGACCCATTTGCGTGTGTAGTTGTGTGGACAGGAAATTTCAAGAAGTGCTTTTTTTTTGTTTATCACAAAACAATTTTTTTTCGCTTATTTCATCAAAAAAAAATATTATTTTGTGGATTGCATAAAGTAGATTGCTTTTGCGACATTCCATTGTGGATTTTTTTTCCGGTAGTGCACGAGCCCTTGGGTGGAAAATTTGCATGATTGTCGTTTTTTGCTGTGAGATTTTAAAATTTGAATGATGAATTATTTGATTTTGAAATTTTTGGATTTTTTTTAAATCATCAGAATTTATTTAAAATTTTTTTCTGAATTTAAAAATTTTTTTCCTGAATTTTAAAAATTTCTTTACAATTTTATAAAAATTATTTAAACAATTCTAAAATAACAAAATGAATTAAAATTATTTTCAAAAAAATATTTTTTGCAAAAAGTGAAAATTTAAAGAAAAAGCTTTTAATATTTTTATTTTATTATTATGATCATGTTTGGCTGCAAATAGACTTTTAAAGTTAAACTTGAAACTTTTTGATGAACTTGAATATTTTTCACTTTAAAGCTAAACTTGGTTCATTAAGACAACCAAGAAATAAAAAACTTATCTTATAAGATTCTTTTAAAATTCGCACAATTTTATCAAAAAATTCAAGATAAAGATTTGAAGGTTTCTAAGTTAATGAACTGAAGGTTATTGTAACTGCTGCTATATAGACTTAGAAATTCAAAAAAAATTATTCTTTATTATTAAATTAAATAGATCGAACAACCTTCCAAAGTTGAGATAAAAACTATAATTTTTACTCACAAATTCATTGAAATTCACAAAAATCAAAGAAAAATTACTTTTAAAAAAATCACATCCAAAAAATAAACGCATAAAATAAGTTAAGTTGTGTGTTTCAATAATTTTTTTTTTTTTCATTTAATATTTCGACGAATGAAGAGTGTTGATAAGAGAATATATGTGCTAAATATAGCTTGATATTTAATCCAACAACTTTACTTTTTGCTCCTTGCCTGTACTCTCTGTACGCCGATAATTAAGTATGAGTTTTATGTCGTACGACAATCGTCATAGTCAAGATTTTTAGTAAATCGTTTAAAAAAATATATAATTGGTGTTGTGAATGAGAATTGGAAGAGTTGTGATGTGATAAGGATTTAGATAGAATTTTGTGGTTTTTTAAAAGTAAATTTTTTGGATGGAATGTGAATGAAACTGACGAAGTAGTCTTAAAGAGATAAAACCTAGGTTGATAAACTTTTAAAAAAATCTTATGCTGTTAATTTTTCACAAATAATATTTTGAAATTAAAAAAAAATTTAAAATTTATTTTAAAATTATGAACAACTGCACTGAATCGTGTACCTATTTTTATACACAAAACAGCTTTTTGCACCTCAACATTTTCTTACCTATATCGCTTAAAAACCATAATATTCATAAGTCACAAGATTACATGCCATAATCACTTTCATATAACAATCCGCATACAACTCCACATACAATTTCAATCTGCGAATGTATAAGGAAAGAAGAAGTAAAATATGAAATAAAATGATTGAATATTTGAGGGATGAATGACATTAGATGGAATTTTTGGTGAATGAAATGTTTATACTTAGGAAAAAAAATCATGATTCATTAGTGGTTCTGATAAGAATTGAGTGAGCTGTCAAATAATGAGAAAACAATTCTGGACTGTCCAAAAATAATACATTAAAATTGACTCTTTGAAATTAAATTAACGCTCATTTATAAATATGACGAGCATTTCACAATAAAAGAAAAAAATTAAAATTCCAAAGAACAAAAAAAATAATTTGTAATTTCGCATTTAATTTGGATAAAAGTTTAAATTTTTTGATTAAAATAATATCACAATAATCAATGTTGACTCAGAACTTGAATTAAATATTTAAAACTTCTGATCAGAGCTTGAAGTCGGTGAAATTTTGTATGGATTCAAGTTAACTCGGAGTCAACTCCGCAATAAAAAATCGATGAAAATTTCGAATCGACTTCTAGCTCTGCTTCTGATTAATCACATTTGGCTCAAAACAGTGTGAAAAAGAGTGGTAAAGAATTAAGCATGTCAATAATAAAGAGTGATTCTAGATGAATTTAAATCACACTAGAGCAAATGGATCATTCAGTTACGACGTCCATAAATAAACATGTTTTTGTACAACCCCATCTTCTTCCCCTGCCCCCCTCTGTCATAAAACTGTCACAGATGCCAATACCACCCCCCTCCTCCTTCCCTTGTGACGTCCAATGAAAGTCTACCAAAAATTATGATTTTCTGCTTTCGAAATTGGATGTCATGAATTTCCTGAACCCCTCTCAATCCCCTCCCCCCTGTCATAAAGTGTTACAAAATCCTAGATCCCCATGTCACAATGTGCCACTAAATTCCCCTCTCAACTTATAAATCTCAGACGTCATAAGTGAACGACTTCAAAAGCCTCAATGATATAAAAATTAAACTTGTTCACTTTTCTAATTTAACTAATATTATTTTTTTAAATTTTTTACTTTTAGATTTATTGTGCAACAAGCAGATTCCAGAACTTCAAGGAATTCTATCCAGCTACAGAAAAACTGAATAATTAAAAATAAGCGCAAAAAAGTTTACAAAAATGTGACGAAAAACATTAAACAAAAAATTTAAAAAAGTAGTTAATAATTTTAAAAGCATGCAAAATATTTAAAAATAAAAGTGACAACAAAAACAAAAGCTTCATTATGACTGGAAAATTCAGATAAAACGACTTTCAGAACTGCAGTAGAGTCGTTTCCAGTTCTTAAAGATAGTCTACATTCTTAATAAGTGAGATTCTTGTACAAATTAAAATAAATTTTAAAAATAGTGAAGTTTTGTTAAATAAAAAAGTGTGAAAAACTTAAAAAAACTGCGCAAATTTGAGTGAAAATTCTTCCAAAAAAAAGGTTAAAACTTTTTAATGATAAGGAAAAATTAGTTAAAAGTTTAGAAATAAGGAAACAAAAAGTCATTCAATTGCATTCCACTTTAGAGCTGCCACTATAAAGTTGATAGTCTACTACTACTTGTTACTTAAATCACAATTAAGTTTCAAACGTTCATAAATTTAAACATTATTAAAAACAAATTGCTGAATTTTCAAAAAAAAAACTATAAAAAAACTTCCGGAAAAAAAATCCTAAAATCATGGAAGGAATGTCATCAAATTTTCCAGGAGGTAATGCAGCAATGCTTCAAATGAATAATTACGGTAACATTTCAACACAGCCAGTTCCACAGCAAAATAATACATCCGAGCTAACACCGCAGAAAAAAGCTGTATTTGAACGGCTGAAAAAGCGAATGAATTTGTATCGAAAACGGCAAAGTGAGACAATTCCAAGGTTCGATCAGACATTTACTGGAATATGTGAGCAGCAAAATGTAGAGACGAATTTATTACAAAAGAAATTTTTAGAGAGTAAAGCAAAGAGAGTGGCTAAGAAAACTGATAAGAAGCAGACTGATGTTGTAGGCGGAAATGTGATGGTGAGTTGTACTATGTGGGATGTGTGGGAAAGATTTTCTCGGTTTTTTTATGCCAAAGGACATGGAAATTGATGCGAAAGCTTGAAATAATTCCAAACAATCCTAGGGCTTGGAGATTAGAAATTAAACTTAAAAAATGTTTTTCTTCCAAATTTTAGTCAAAAGCCCAAAAGCGGCCAGCACCAGATGACCTCGAAAACGATCCAGACCTCCATCCACCGACAAAGATTTCACAACAGCAGCAAAACCAACAAAATCAACAGCAACAAAGTCAACAATCAATGGATAATATGAAATTCCAAGTAGAAATTGTACAGCAATTAGAGTTCACAACATCCTCTGTAAATCTTCAACCTCAACAAATTAGCACAAATGTGACAGTCAAGACAACAGCGAATGGGTCGATGACAACAAAATATGAGCCTCAGGAGATGAAACAGAAAATGAATGAGCCAGCAAAAATGCAACAAATGGCACCATTGCCACCGCCAGCTCCTGATCTTCTTCAGGACTTTAAGCAAGAACCTGACAATGAATTTGCGGACTTGGATTTTGGAGGAATTGCAAACTTTATGGCAAATGACGAGAATGAATTGAAAAAATTGTTCTCAAATATTAGTGAAGTTTTTGACACATCTGATTTATTTGACGATACAAAGCATATTAAGCAGGAGCCAATGATGAAGCCACACCACCAAATTCCACAAATGCCACAAATAATGAACCAAAACCTCAATCCTATGGCAACAAATCAATTTAATCAATATGTGATGCAAGATACAATCCAAATGCAAAAACCAATGATGCAACAAATGCCACAACAACCGCAGACTCAGCAACAACCGACACAGCAAATGAGAATGTATCAACAGCAAACGATGCAACAACAAATGCAACCGGATATTACGCCAGCAGCACAAACATTAAAGAATATGGCTCAACAGCATCAGGTGAAGAGTTCAATGGCTATGAATTATATGAGACCAGTCGGACAGCAAATGGGAATGCCACAACAACAAATGATTCCTCAACAACAAGTACCACAACCACCACAACAACAACAACAGAGGCTTCCATATCAGCAATACAATGAATATAGTCAATTTGCTCAGCAACAGCAACAGCCACAACATAAACCACAAATGCAACTGCCATTCCCACCTGAGATGATTAAACAGGAGATTATGATGCAGCAACAACCACCACAAATGCAGCACATAAATACCATGAAGCCAATGATGAATCATCAAATGATTCATGAGGAGCCAAAAATTCATCAAAATTACCAAAACTTCCAAAATCAACAATTTATTCAGCAGCAGCAACCACCACAAAGGACATTCCAGCAACAACCTCAACCGAATCCAATGAGCATTCATATGAAACAGACGCAAATGATGCACATACAACAGCAAGGAAATCCTGGTGGAAATATGCAAATGCAGGGTGCGCAGCACATGGGCATGTCAATGAATGATGGCAACTTTAGTATGCAACAACAACAGAATATGTACTTTAGTCAACATCACACACATCAACCAAATACACATCCGCAGTATGCGAATACTATGGCGGCAGCTATGCAACAACAGAAAAGGCAACAACAACAACAACAACAGCAGCATCATCCGCAAATGATGGGTGAGGGTAAGATAAAAATTTTTTTTTGGCAGAACTTTAGACTTTTTGTTGTTCAGGTTCTCTTTGCACCAAAGCAGTGTTTCTCAAACTTTTTCGGTCCACGGCACATTTCTTTTAATAAAATACTGTGCGGCTCACCAAGAATGTTTTCAAGGTACATTAGTGTACCGCGGCACACTGTTTGAGAACCTCTGGACAAAAGTTTAGCTACCATCACATTTTGTTTTTTTTCACTCTTCATTAATATTTAATCTTTTTTTTTTCTTACATTTTAGGACCAACGCATACAACAGGCACATACAACATGATGCAGAATCAGTCGATGAGTTTTACACAGTAAACTGCCGCAGATAAAGCCCTAGTAGTGGAAATGATTATTTACCACAAAAATTTGATGCCACATAAGTTCTCGATTTAGTTTTAAATATATTTAAAAAAATGAATTTAGTGACAAAAAAATACCAAATGAACAGAGAGAGACAAAAAGGTGAAAAGTATATAAAATTTGAGTAAGAAACTCACACATTCACACATACGCATTCTTATATTAGTGAAGAATTTTGTTTTTGCATCCCTAATATGAGCCAAAATGAAATGTGATATTTGCACCTCTATTTAACCATGAAAAAACTATAATTTTAAAGGAAATGATAAGTTTAAAATTTAAAAAAAGGGAAAAGACATTTTTTATGATTTTATTAAAAATATTATACATTTTTAAAGGTTTTCGTAGCACTACGTTGTAAATATTATTAGAAAATTTCCTGATGTATGGAAATAAAAAAAAAACAATGGGAAACAAAATTAGAAATTAATTTTTTTTGTTTTCAAAACCAATTTTTAAAAATTTTAAGTGTAAATAATTTTTTGTTCCATATAAAAGTTGATACAAAAATGAAAATATTTAAGTTGATATCCATTGTTGAACAGTGATGTCACCTCGTAAAGTTGTAAGACAAACCATATTTATAAGGATTTAAATTAAAAAGTTATAGGTTTGTTGGGGTTTTTTTGGTATGGCTTCTAAAATTAATTTAGGAATTAATTAATTTAACTTGTTTTTCAAAACTTTTTGAAAGTTTAATTTTAAACTTTAATTTCAAAAAAAAATTATTTTGAAAATTCTTTAAACTATATAACAATAAATAAAATAAATTTAATTCAAAAACCAAAATAAAAACTTCACAAACCTATAGAAATCATAACAACCACAACATTTCAAAAAGCAAAGACCTCAACATAGAGAAAAATATAAAAAAAATCTTATAAAAGGTATAAAAAAACTTAGATCAGAATAATAGTAAAATTTTTATTAAAATAGGTATAAGGAAACTTAAAAGGAAATTAAATTTAGACAAATTTACACGGAAAACAATTAAAATAATAAGAAAACTTAAAATTTGTCACCATTGTCTGCCATTTATTAAAATTTATTTCATTCCAATACATTCAAAAAAGATTAAGAATAACTAGTAAAGGGGTGGGAGGGGGGGGGCGGTATTTTTGTGACAAATTCTCGTATGTTAACAGAAATTTCTTAATTTTGCTAGGATTTTTATGAACAAATTCTGAAACTTCCTCATTCTTTAATTTTCTACTTAAAAAAGACCCCCTTCAAATACTTGGCTACGTTCTTGTGGGGGGGTATACAAATCAAACAGTGTAATGGAAAATATAAATCCTCATATTAACTTTGATTGAGTTTTTCAGTAAAACATTGTGCTTTGTTTCATAACCCCCTCCCTCCGCGCTTCTTTCTTAATCCCCGGAAAAGTGGACACATTTTTTGTTTTTCAGCAAAAAAATTCTTCTTGAAATCAATAATCCTTGTAAAGTTCAACAAAATAGCAAAAACATTAACTTAAAAAATAATTCTTAAATAAAAATGAAACCAAATTTCCTCAAATTTATTTCGAATTAAATTTAAAAAATTTCACAAATGAAATTTAAAAAAATGTACCAATTAAATATAGTAAAAATGTAAATATCTTCGGCATCCTAGATGCTTTTGTTAAGGATGATAATTTCAAATTTCATGCATAGAAAAACCATTAAAAATTTTAAAAACAAAAATTGTTTTTAAAGATTAATATTTTTCAACTGTTTTGTACAAATCAAGTGTTTTATGTAAAATATTGATCTTTAAATGAGCTTTTGTTTTGAAAGTCATGAAATTGAATAAAAATTTTATAATATTATGAAGAGGAAAGATAGGAACAAAATTTTGGTCGAAATTAAAAAAAGATATTTAAAAAATTAAAAAAACAAAATTGAAAAGTTGTTGACAAATTTTCATGAGATATTTTGAGTCATTCCATAATTTTATGTCGCAAAGGGCATAGCCAGAAAAATTTGTTTTTTAATTTCAATTTTTTTTGGATAGCTTTTTATTGACTTCAATGATTTCTTAATCTTGACTTATAAATTTGAACTCCGCAAAAACTTTTGAATAATTTTTAAAAGAAAACAAAACTTGGATTTTAAAATCTTGTGAAAATTTGTCAACTTTTCTATACAATGTGGAATAAAATTCCTGGCAAGCAGGACTTACAATGTAAAATGACTTAAAGAAATTTGCCATGACTATGAATTATTTTGAAAATCATTTCTTAATTTACTCTGGTGCCTAATTGGTCGAAATAAAATAAAATTGCATAACTCAGTTTAAAAAATGTCAAAACAATAAAAATTTCATTTTAAAAATATTAAAAAAGAAAAAAAAATATTTTATTAAATTTGACTTAATTATTGATTAAACCTGCAAATTTTTATTTTTCACGTGAAAATGTCGATCATTTAGCTTACCAGATTCCTTACATTCTCTTCGTATCGATTAAACTTCATCTCTTAAGCTTTCCTTTTATTATAAATATCAAATTATGTTAATCAAATATTATTAAAAAGTGAAGAAAATTAAAAAAAAAATAATGAAACGGAGGAAAAACTTAAAAAGAAAATTTAAGACAAAAAGCCATAAAATAAAAAAAAAATAAATGAATGAAAATTTATAAAAAAAATTTGTTGTATTTTGATTCCTTTGAATAATTATTTTTTCATCATTCGAGTCCTTTTTAGAACAGAAATGCGAAAAAAAAATAAACAATTCACATCAGCACATCTAGTTCCTAGTCATGAACACTATGATAGTATATGTAGGTGAGAAAGAGCCAGCACAAACTTTTTTTGTGTGTACTTCAAAAATAGGCAAAATACAAAAAAAAGTTTTCCGCTTATACTCGCCGATTAGAAAGTGAAAACATCAACAATTTTTCGTTCAAACTCATTCACTACTTCAACAATTACATAATTTTAGACTATATTTGGAATGTAAGCAGCAACACAACACAAAGCAGATACATAGAAGAAAAAAATCAGCTGACGAATGCTGATCTGCATGCTTGTTGATTGATAAATGTATGGCACTGTGCCGTCTTAGTCTGAAATGTGGTTATATTTTGTAGGGGTGGACACAATAGGTTGCACAACTATGCCTTGTTGATTATTATCATTAATAACATAAGCATCATGAGCTGATCCGTCTGAAAGTTTTTGAGCATAGTCCTATTTTTGGCATATTTTTTGGTAATGGCAATTGTGTGGTGGAGCATGCAGGAAGAACTTTGTGTCGCTTTTTGAGGCATACTGCTTGTGAGTTGATAAGGATGTTGACTTAAGTTTGGAAAAAAAAAGGAAATCGTTCCAAAGAAATTCGAGTTTTTATTTAATTCTTTTAACACTCCCAGCCAACTCCAATTAATTCAGTCACACTCAAAAAAAGCAACAAAAGTCTCACTTTATGCATTCACATGCTCAAATATTAGCTTTATTGCCTGACCCAATTTCCGCTTCATTTTTTTCTATTTCTTTTCTTTCTCCAACTTCTCGCACACAACATAATATCATTTTGTGTCTAAATTTTTTTTCTTCCATCTCGTTTCCATCCACTTCATCGTGCATCATGTGATGACTTAAAAGAACGCGTGCAATGTGCGTTGATAAAAAAAACTTTTTTTTTATTCATAGAAGAAGAGGAAAAAAACGCAATTAAAGCAAACATTTAGAAGCGTTGGCCTAATTTTAGGAGTCTCATGTAAACTTGTTGCTTCTATGACTTACATTGTCTAACATGATTAAATAATATGTATATGTAAAAATTCTTAACTTGCTGTTTAGTTTTGAATGTGTGACAAATTGTCTGTCCATGCATCTTTTTGATGATTTCTAGTGATCTTGTGAAAATTTTGAGTTAACTTAAAATCACTTCTCTTGAGCACCTGATACTAAAATAGGTCTGCGATTAAAAAATAAAATGAGCAGGCAAATGAGAAATAATTATGATGCATTGTCTTGTTCTTTTACAACGTATCGTTTTTAGGGGGGAAGAAGAGAAGTCTAAAATTTTGCTACGATTCAAAACAAATCCCAATCTTGTCGGATCAGCTCACTTAAAAATGTTCAGAATGCTTCATTCCTAAATTTAATGGTAATTTTGCGACGACAGTTAAAATATTAGAGATCCAGTCTGTTAACATAAATGACCATGTGATCTTGTCGTAAAGTTTATAAGGATAATTTGCGAATAGTTCTGCAAGACAACACTGAGATTCAAACTAGTGTATCGGGTAGAAACCCAATGCGGATATATTCACACCGTACCATCAAAAATCTTATGGATATACCAAGATTTGCTCAGCATATGTTTGAAGGGTGGGCGTGAAGTACGGCCGAGACCCATATCGACACAGTTCAAAAGTTATACCTAATTTATGTCATAATTATGTCAGCTGCAAAAACACTTAGTTTGAATTTTGTCACCCTCGAGAACACTATGAACCAGTATAGCTGATTTTGGTCCAAATCTCGGCCATACTTCACACTTATTTGAACCACATTTTCTCGTAAATGTTAAAATATTATTAAAAAGTAATTAATCCTGAATTATGACGCTATTTTGTCAAGTGTTTTAAGATAAAGAATTTGTTTTTTGGTTTCCACAGTAAAGAGTATGAACAATATTCTGATGGGGTAGTCGAAATTTTAGATTTCAATTTTTTTTAAGCTATGTATTACAAAAAGTAATATTGGTATGTGATTTATGTCAGAATTATGTCAATTCAAATAAAGCATCCAAAAAATTTTTTTGACAAAAGTACACCATAGAAAATCAATTTTCAATTTTGGACTAGGGGCGACCCTAGTCAAAATCTCGTTTTTCACTTTTTTCCCTTCAAGGATAAATCCAAATACAATAAAACTTTGTATAAGCATTCTAATTCTTAGGTCACACATTTCTGAATTAATAAAAATCATTTTTTTGGAAAAATTTTAAGTCACGTTGTTTTTATATGTAGAACCAAATTTATAAAATTTGGGTCTGACGACATATAGAATACATTTCTTGCTTTAGATATTTAAAACTGTTTTGTATAAATATTAGTATACTAACACAAAGTTTCACTGTAGTTGGATAAACCTTCGAAGAAAAAAGTGACAAAATTGATTTTGACTAGGGTCGCCCCTAGTCCAAAATTGAAAATGTATTTCCTACTTAGTTCTTTGCTCAAAAAAATTTTAGGATGTTTTATTTGTATTTGTTTTAAGCACTAGCATATTTATGCAAAGTTTCAATCCATTTGGATAAACCCTCGAAGAAAAAAGTGACAAAATTGATTTTGACTAGGGTCGCCCCTAGTCCAAAATTGAAAATGTATTTCCTACTTGGTTCTTTGTTAAAAAAAATTTTAAGATGTTTTATTTGTATTTGCTTTAAGCACTAGAATATTTATGCAAAGTTTCAATCTATTTGGATAAACCCTCGAAGAAAAAAGTGACAAAATTGATTTTGACTAGGGTCGCCCCTAGTCCAAAATTGAAAATGTATTTCCTACTTGGTTCTTTGTTAAAAAAAATTTTAAGATGTTTTATTTGTATTTGTTTTACGCACAAGAATATTTATGCAAAGTTTCAATCCATTTGGATAAACTCTCGAAGAAAAAAGTGACAAAATTGATTTTGACTAGGGTCGCCCCTAGTCCAAAATTGAAAATGTATTTCCTACTTGGTTCTTTGCTCAAAAAAATTTTAGGATGTTTTATTTGTATTTGTTTTAAGCACTAGAATATTTATGCAAAGTTTCAATCTATTTGGATAAACCCTCGAAGAAAAAAGTGACAAAATTGATTTTGACAAGGATCGCCGCTAGTCCAAAATTGAAAATGTATTTCCTACTTAGTTCTTTGCTCAAAAAAATTTTTGAATGTTTTATTTGTATTTGTTTTAAGCACTGAAATTTTTATGCAAAGTTTCAATCCATTTGGATAAACCCTCGAAGAAAAAAATGACAAAATTGATTTTGACTAGGGTCGCCCCTAGTCCAAAATTGAAAATGTATTTCCTACTTAGTTCTTTGCTCAAAAAAATGATGTTTTATTTGTATTTGTTTTAAGCACTAGCATATTTATGCAAAGTTTCAATCCATTTGGATAAACCCTCGAAGAAAAAAGTGACAAAATTGATTTTGACTAGGGTCGCCCCTATAGAATATACTACTAGAATATATACTAGAATATTTATGCAAAGTTTCAATCTATTTGGATAAACCCTCGAAGAAAAAAGTGACAAAATTGATTTTGACAAGGATCGCCGCTAGTCCAAAATTGAAAATGTATTTCCTACTTGGTTCTTTGCTCAAAAAAATTTTTGAATGTTTTATTTGTATTTGTTTTAAGCACTGAAATTTTTATGCAAAGTTTCAATCCATTTGGATAAACCCTCGAAGAAAAAAATGACAAAATTGATTTTGACTAGGGTCGCCCCTAGTCCAAAATTGAAAATGTATTTCCTACTTGGTTCTTTGCTCAAAAAAATTTTAGGATGTTTTATTTGTATTTGTTTTAAGCACTAGAATATTTATGCAAAGTTTCAATCTATTTGGATAAACCCTCGAAGAAAAAAGTGACAAAATTGATTTTGACAAGGATCGCCGCTAGTCCAAAATTGAAAATGTATTTCCTACTTGGTTCTTTGCTCAAAAAAATTTTTGAATGTTTTATTTGTATTTGTTTTAAGCACTGAAATTTTTATGCAAAGTTTCAATCCATTTGGATAAACCCTCGAAGAAAAAAATGACAAAATTGATTTTGACTAGGGTCGCCCCTAGTCCAAAATTGAAAATGTATTTCCTACTTGGTTCTTTGCTCAAAAAAATTTTAGGATGTTTTATTTGTATTTGTTTTAAGCACTAGAATATTTATGCAAAGTTTCAATCTATTTGGATAAACCCTCGAAGAAAAAAGTGACAAAATTGATTTTGACAAGGATCGCCGCTAGTCCAAAATTGAAAATGTATTTCCTACTTGGTTCTTTGCTCAAAAAAATTTTTGAATGTTTTATTTGTATTTGTTTTAAGCACTGAAATTTTTATGCAAAGTTTCAATCCATTTGGATAAACCCTCGAAGAAAAAAATGACAAAATTGATTTTGACTAGGGTCGCCCCTAGTCCAAAATTGAAAATGTATTTCCTACTTGGTTCTTTGCTCAAAAAAATTTTAGGATGTTTTATTTGTATTTGTTTTAAGCACTAGAATATTTATGCAAAGTTTCAATCCATTTGGATAAACCCTCGAAGAAAAAAGTGACAAAATTGATTTTGACTAGGGTCGCCCCTAGTCCAAAATTGAAAATGTATTTCCTACTTGGTTCTTTGTTAAAAAAAATTTTAAGATGTTTTATTTGTATTTGTTTTACGCACAAGAATATTTATGCAAAGTTTCAATCCATTTGGATAAACTCTCGAAGAAAAAAGTGACAAAATTGATTTTGACTAGGGTCGCCCCTAGTCCAAAATTTAAATTGTATTTCCTACTTGGTTCTTTGCTCAAAAAAATTTTAAGATGTTTTATTTGTATTTGCTTTAAGCACTAGAATATTTATGCAAAGTTTCAATCTATTTGGATAAACCCTCGAAGAAAAAAGTGACAAA